GTGCTATACGAAAAAATCATTAAAAAATCCTGCTCGATCCTGCGCGTTCTCCCACATTTGTCATGATCACTGAGTCGCTTGTGCCATACTAGCAAATTCTGCTCGACCCAGCATGTTTTCCTGCAGTTGTCAGGATGGCTATTTCCCTGGCGCTACGATTAAAGAGGGACCCAGCTGGCCCAGAGCGTTCTCCCGTGGTCACCATGATAGCTGAGTCGCCCGTCTATACATTTGGGCTCGATGTGCTGCGATTGAAGATTCTGCTTGACCCAGCGCATTTTCCCGCGTTTGTCACGATGGCTGAATCGCTCTCGATCCAGCGAAATCTCTTGCGTTTCTCATGATACCTGCGTCACTTGTGCCATGTTTGCGCAGTGCCCTACATTTTTTTTTTCTCGCACCTTTTTTCCGCCAGCTGGAAGGAGTCCCTTCGCTACGGCCGCAGGGGCAGGCAACTGTGGCCCTCAGGGGCAGCGTGGTGGATGACGCTGTCGAGCGGCGGGCCTTCGCCAGCCTCAGGTTGCAGCGGCTGCCGCCAGGCACCTCCAAGAGCCGTACTGGCGACTGCCTGCTGCACCGCGACCGAAAGCATGCTCCACCAGCGCCTCGCCCAAGCTGCTGTCGCTGCCGCGCGCACGGAGAGGGGGGCGCGGTACGCCTTGAGACGCACCAGGTCTCGCACGAAGCCTCGGGCCTGAGCGTTCCAGCGGCCGCCCACCTCGGAGCCGAGCACGACGAGCGTTTGCGGCCCCCCTCGCGTGAGCTCCGGGTACGCGGCGTGCTTGCGGCGCTCAGCCACCCGCAGCACGGCTCCGTCCACGGCCGCTGCGCACGGCTGCGGGTGCCCCGATCGCGTGAGCGGGGAAACCAGCGTGGCGTCGCAGCACTGCGCCCCCCCGCTGCGCAGCGCCCCGTACACGACGAGGTCGAGTCTGCGACGGTCCTGCGCTCCGACCTGCGGGGCGGTGGTGTTGGCCAGCCACTGCTGCAGAACGACTTGACCTTCCGACCCCACCGCTTCCCGGGCGACCTGCACCCAGGCTCGCTCCACGATCTTGGCCCGCCTGGCGAGGAGTCCAGTGCGCGGGCACGCAAGTGCGTGGTCGCCGAAGCGGTCTACTGCGCCACGGCAGCCATGGGGCGGCCCGCAGGTGTTGTTAAACAAATTTTCCGCATGATCTCATGGTTGATTTTTTGATTTCGCCGGATGCAGGAACAATGCAGATGTTCTAGTTCATGCGCTGCATTCATGTCATTCACTTCATTTTTACCCGCATTAATAATATTTTCTCTTCATCTTGACAGAGTTTCATGCTTGGAACAACAAAGTTCGGAATGCCTGCCATGATAGCTCGTTAACAAATTGGAGGGAACAGTCTTTGGCAAGTTACTGGAAATTGGCCACTTACATTGCAAATTTGCCACGTGATCGATGGGTGATTTGTGTTGGAGTGGCACCCCCGACGAGTTCAGGCTGGGAGGTAGCCTAGCAATTGGGAAGATGCACTCATGATGTATTGTCGTTGGCGTCAACCGGGAAATTGGAAGTCCGCAGCTGTTGATTCAAAATGGTGGTTACGACAAACAGATGATTTCATTAATTTCTGCGATGCTCTCCGCCTGTTCGCATTGACCTCGGATAGAGAAGAAAGCGACTTCGCGAATCCGTTACAAAGCAATGAGCCGCGCAATTAGTCGTCGCATTTGATTGTTTCATTTTTTTTTTTTTTTCTCGCGCGCCTTTTTCCGCAGCCTGTCATAGCGGGGGTCGGGGTCGGGAGGGAGGGGCCTCACCGCCGCGGCGGCACGCGGCTGGCGGGCGGGGGGCGATCCCAGCGACCATCGGCCAGGACCTCGTGCAGCTCAGGCGCGGCATCATCGCCGTTGCTCTCACCTGCAAGGGGCAGCTCGAGCAAGGAAGATGCGAACGCGCGCTGGGCCGCAACGGCCAGGAGCGCCGCCCATCGCGCCACCCACCTTCTTGATTTTTCCTGAAACATGTGTAATGGTCCCAGGGCCCACGCTGCGCCCGCAAACTGTTGAAGTGCGTTCGGCCCGATATCGGCAAACCGTGCGGAGCCACCGAGCTGTTTGGTGAGAAACTCTGAGAACGCCTTGGTGGGCCCAGACCGAGCCCCAATGGACGCAGCTCCCAAGCCAGGCGGCGCAGATGGCCCACCATTGGACGAAGAGGCAGCCACTGGTCTTCGCCGCAAAGTCCGGCCTGTAAGCGGAATTGAACCAGCACTTTTGTACTGTGTGTCCGGGCTTGTGGCAATGTTCACGCGGCTTCATTGCTTTTCTTGCTTTTGCGTTTGCCTTTGCATCCCTGAGATTTGCCGCCCGCCGCTGTGGCAGCAACGACCTTGGCTGGTGCCCTTTTTCATGTCTTCCGGGTGATGATCAAGGCGTCTAAATCCGCAAAATTGCTGGCATTGACAACGGCAAGAGTAGCATCCAGTTCTTTGATGATGTCCTTGAGTTTATGCGCAGGAGCGCAATTTTGCCCCCAGCATGAGTGAGGTGATGCTCGCCGGAAGATGGCTTGGGAGGCAGCGCGCTGCCACCCACGCGTGTTGTCGAGCTGCGGCTCATCGTCGCCAAACACAGGCGGCGCCTCACCGTGCAGTAGGTCGTGCCAGGATGGGGATTCAAACCCTACGGCAGCCAAGGAGTCGCAGGCAGCCCGCAGCGGCTCAAGTGCCTCGGGTAGTCTCGCCTGCACAACGCTGGAAAAGTGTCATTGTCGGAGCTTGACAGCTATTCATGGCAGCTTTCTTGCTGTATCGTCACCAGATGGGGACAGCTTTTGCCAGTGAGCCCTGTTCCGGGAACTGGATGCCCCCTTTGCAGCACTGCTTGACTCGCAGGCTGGCTCGTACGCTGCCCGTGTATTCACTGCGCGGCCAACTTCGCCTGAACTCACTCTGGAATCCCCGTTGTTCCGTGTGCTGCTTTTGCGTCGGCTCCGTTTGCCGCTCCCGCTCACAGCATCTAGGTGCCGGTGCCACCAGCCGCATGATGTTTCGGAAATCACATTGCAGCCTGCCCCATGTCTGGTGTTTTGCGCTCACGTGGAGGCCCGCTTGACGAGCGGCTGCCAGAGTTTGTCGGGAGGCTGGCGCCACTGTTGCAACGCATGTCCTCGTGCGTGACCTCAATGTCGCCCCTGTCCGCCCGGATGAACGACGCATCGAGGTCATTGCCAATGGCTTGCCTCTCTGGGGTGGCGTCCAACTTGCCGTCGACACTACACTCGTCTCGCCGCTCACTGCGGCGGGCGTGCCACGTCGTGAAGGAGGCCGCGCGGCCGGGGCAGCTTTGCGTGTTGCAGAACGTGCCAAAGCCCGAACTTACCCAGAGCTGGCGTCCGGCCGCCGATGCCGGCTCGTCGTCCTCGGCGTTGAGGTTGGCGGGCGCTGGAGCCGCCAGGCCGCCCTGTTTGTCAGGCTGCTTGCTCGATGCCGGGCCCGAGCCGCTCCGGCTGCGTCACGGGCAGCGTGCACTTCCGCGTTTGCGCTGCGCTGGTCGGCACTCCTCGCCTTTGCAGCCGCACGTCCCTTTGCAGTCAGCCTCCTTTCCTTTCCCATCTCCGGCACAGCAAACGTTGATGGAGAATCGCCTCTCATCAGCGACATCGTTGCTGACTCGGCCGAGCAGCCCCCCCTTGCCAGTCGCCTGCCGTAGGTATCTGTGGGTTGTGCGTGGCCGTGGGCTACTTCACTGGGACCGCGAAGTGGATGCAGAAAAAAGGCGTGAGAGAAAAAAAATCCAAAGTAATTGAGCTCTTGGATCCTTGCATTTAGCCATGGAGCTAAATGTGTTGATTCATGCCGCTGATCAACGATGTGGACAGCTTCACGACCACAACCAAACTGTGCGTATCAGCTTGAGGATCTCCGGTCTTTTCTTGCCCTTCTGACATGCGGCAACCACCATTGTGAAAACATGCGCATCTGTTTTGCTCATGTTTGCGGACAAGTTTGACGCCAATTCGCCAAAGGAAACCGCCTCATCATCAAGCTCTCTGATGCCCACTGGTTCCGGTGAAGCGCCAGCCCTCAGAATCAGAGTTTCTAGCAGATCTTTGATGTAGATGCGCCCTGACGTCGCATCGTCCGTTCGCCATGGCACCTAAAGCTACGGCTGATAACCCTGTTACCAAGCAAGCACAGCTATGACGTAGCAAGCATTTGTCAACCGGTCACTTGAGCCAAGGCGTTGCCAAGGCAAGTCTGATGCAATCACTCTTGATTCACGGATGTCGTGACATGTGAGGCATCAAACGTCGCCAACGGCCGTCCTCAGACTTGCGAGGTGCTCAGACTGCGGTCGACACGACGCTTGTCAGCCCCATCCAGCGCGACGGGCGCGCACAGGGCCGAAGCGAGGCCAGCGCTGGCTTTGCAACAAGCCACGGCGCGCAAACTACCCCGATCCCCAGCCAGGCGGGCACGGATGCTGCCGCTTGGTGGTGTTCGGACTCGACGTGGGCGGGCGCGTTGACGGCCACGCGGCGCTGGCCGCCTTGCGAGCAGACCCCCCAGACGGGTACGAAGAGGGAAAAAGGCCGATGCGGCTGTAAGAGCTCGTAGGCCGTAAGGGCACGGACACCACAGGCAGCTAGAAAAAGGAGCAAAAAAAAACAAATCCATTTACGTGGCTTCTGCACTACCAAAAGTGTACCAAACGGATCCTTTTGAGCAGCTTCGAGACGCGTGTTTCGCCAACAGGGCATTGTCCATGTGATGCCTTCTTTGGCGGTGAAATCGACCGTGGCGCCAACTCGCAGAACATGTTTGTTTGCCGAGACGGAAAATATAGATGGCCATGGATTTGTCGTGTATTGTTTTCGTCCAACTGCATATCCCGTGTCGGATTTTGGGCTCGCTCCATGTGTTGACGCAGAGACAGCGGCCGGTATACAATTATACTACATACGTCACATTGGAAGTCGAGCTGGGTTTGCGTAAGGTTTTATTTGGAACTCCTGTGCCACCATGGCTCTTCGGCTGTTCGTCAACTTGTCCTTCCTGGGCACGTGCTTGGCGCAATCAAATGGCATATCATTTGGCTACGAGGCTGCCTGTGGAAGTTCCCCAGAAAACCATGATGGCGATTGAAGCCCAGGTGTGTTGGATGTCTTGCAAGCACTGATTGTCGGAAGGTGGCGCGGCACACAGACCCACGGCGCTTGTTGGAGGTTATGGAGGCGCAGGGCGGCCACGATGAAGTTGCAACAAAAGCGCTGGAGGTTGGGGTTGCGCAGCAAAATGTCAACGTTGACATGCCATGTAATGATTATGGCATGGTGCCGATGGCTGTCTAGACATGTGAAAGTTGTTCTACTATGTTATATTATGTTCTATTTGCCGGAGATGCCGATCGGTTCGTCAGGTAAGTCGAAAGTTGTTTGACTTCGCGAGCATGGCCGATTCCATTGGCGGTGCGGCAAAATGGGCCACCGACACCGTCAGCGAGGTCACAAATCAGGTTTGACCATTTGTTGAGATCATGACTGCTCAGCTTCAATTGCCAGGTGCAAAACAAAGTTGTTGGTGTACAAGAAGCAGCAACATTGATCCAGGGTGCGCCGCTCGACCGTGACCATTCAGAAAAAGGTTCTCCAGTTGTTGGTGTGGAACCTTTTCAACTTGAGCCAGGCTTCACTAACGTTCGGGGGATTCCATCTGGTTTTTAGACTTCTCAGGAATGGGTACGTGCAGGAGGGAACGCAACTCACCGGCCAAGCGTGGGACAGCATGAAGGGCCTTGGTGACAAGATGGGCACGATCTATCAAGGCATCAGAGTCAGCTGCCGTGGATTTGGCACGACATGCCAGCAGTTGTCGCAGTCAAAGGCATCGGTGCACGTGTTTGCGTTAAAAATACGATAGTATCTTGCGCCCGCCGTCCAGATTTTGAACCTCTCGAGCCGGCATTTGCCAGTTGTCAGCCCAGTTGCCGTTGGGAGGACTACATCCCCATTTCTGATTTGTCAAGCTTCTGCACATGACCCAAGGTGCCAGCGGGGTCGCTCAAATCACAACGGACGAGGGCTTTCTGTCCAAGCTGGTGCACTGCATACGCGAGATCATCAGCAGACGCCCGGTGAAAATGGTGGGCGAAGTCTGGAAGTTTTGTAGTGGACACATGCCCGTCCTGCAGGGTGAGTCGCGGTAAAGTGATGCGAAAGCATGCACGAGGCAACAGCATCCTTGACATCTTGGGCTCGGCTTTGGAAAAGGTCATCGGCATCTTCACACAAATCAAGGAAACCCCCCCTACATTGCACCAAAAGCAGTCATGAATGGAAACTCTAATCGATTTTGTTTTGTGCAGGACGCCGTTGTCAGCATCGTGTCAAAGCTTGGAGGAGGCCGAAGGCGAGCAACGACCCCCGAAGATCTGGAGAGAAAGAGAGAGACCCTAATTAATGTCACTAACTTGGGAACTAAATATTTGTAAATACAAAATGAATTTGTGTTTTTGGGAACGAAGTCGTACTTTCCACATGCATTTTCCAGGCTGCGCCAGGCAGGTGAGGACGGTCGACGTCTTCTTGATTACAGCCAGTGCCCAGACTGTCAAAGCGCTTAATTTGCGGCCACCTGCACCATCCTTTTCTAAAAGCACATGTCGAAGAAGTTAGCATTGCCACTTCACTTCCCATTGGAAGCTTCTGGGGACAACTGCAAGTGTAAGCTCGGGATCCCTACAGCCCAGCCACTAAGGTTGCTCGAGGGTATCGACTTCGAATGGCTCGGGAATAAGATTACAGGCTTTGTTCCTTGTCGGCAGTTGGAACAAGGAACCCAAGAGAAGGCATCAAGTCGCCATGCCAGAAACGCGTGCGGCTCAGGTTGCCGACATCAAGAAACAGTCAGAAAACCTGGCGGAAAGCTCAGTCCGAGAAGTTCTAATTGTGATTTTGCGTCTTCAGGGTTGAGGGCTGGAACGGCCTTCGCTGGTGCTCGGGACTGCAACCGAATAGGGGGTTGCAGATGTCTCCACGCAAAGTTCGGCCCGAATCCCTTACCAGCACCCTGTCATCGTCACCTGACGCAGGTTGACATTGACACCATCCTGGGTCCAATGCTGTCCAAGATGGACAAGACTGGTGAGGCCAGTGGTCCCTACCTAATTGCAGCGGGGCTTCGATGCAATCATTCCCTTTTAAAGCTTTTGGCGCAGAAGAAAGGGTGGCGGTGGGGGGGGGGGGAGGCGCCTGCTTGATCTTGTGCCAGACACCAAATTGACATGTTTACCAGGACTTAAGCTACAGTTGAAGGCGTGGGTTCTTGTAAGATTTCGATGTTCGCTTGTGTTCTTTCAGTGATCTGGCCTTTACAGCGTTTCCATGCTTTCTGTCTGGTTACGCAGCTGTAGGGTGGGTCCGACTCATCGAAAACGGTCATAAATTCAATGCCCTTTCATGCCTCTCCAGGGTTCGGACCTTGGGCGCCGCCCTGCTTCACTATGCATCATGCGACGTGATGCGGTCACAGTGCGGGGGATACGATATTGAAGGGCTGCTCGTCTTGGATTCTTGGATTGCAGATGCAGTCCTAGTTGAAGGCACATGCCACAGCTGCCACAGACGTCAGAAACAGCCGGTGCTGATTGCACATTCCTTCGTTCTTGTCGCCTTCATTCTCTAGCTGCCTCCAGCTTCTATGGCACGGAGGACTCGGAAGACACTCCCGGAGCTGACCTTGCTGCAGGAACTACGGGCACGGCCATCCAGCACTGCGGTGGCTGGTATCTTGTATCCACACTTGGAGAACTGGCGTACACATCCCCGCATGGCCACAGCAGTTCTGCGGCAGTTGGCGGTGCAGGGTCGTCCTCAGCTTGCTGCAGAGGTACTGTCAGCCATGGAATCCCACGGGATAGAGACGAACATATTCCACTACAGTGCCTCACTTTCCGCATGCTCCGACGACTGGCTCTTGGCTTTGTGCTTGGCGCAGCGCATGGAGCGGTCGAGCATTCAAAGGGATGCAGTCGCCGTGAGCTCACAAATGCAAGCTTGTGCGCGAGCAAGGCGTTGGTACCTGCCTGTGTCTTTAATGCTGGACTTGTGCAGCTCTGCTTCCAGATTGGACACGGCTATCTACAACACTTGCGTTGCGTCTTGCCAGCAAGAAAACCTATGGCAAAGTTCATGGCGGCTGCTTCGAGGTATCTGGGAAAGTGAGCTTAAGGCGGATGTCCTAGCTTTCAATGCCTTGTCGGCAGCTCCGTGGCCGAGTTCAGTATTCATGCTGCGCGTCGCATCCTCCCTAAATCTCAAGCCGGATGTTTTTTGTTTCAATTCTGCCATTGGCGAAGCAAGCCAAACCAGCTGGAACAACGTGTTGGGTATGTTAGACTCGATGCCCGTGTCAGAACTTCACCCAGACATCGCTACCTATGATGCTTCAATAGGGGTCTGTGGTGGCACACACTGGGAAAAGGCCTCGCAATTATGGAGCCTGCTCCAGGTCTCGTGCCGCCCGGACACGGTCGCGCTAACAGCGATGCTGAGCACCTGTGCCCATGCAACGAAGTGGAAAGAAGCCCTGAACATTCAGCGCACCTGCCAAGGCGCGCAACAGGTGGACTTGATCTCTTGCAATGCTTTGGTCAACGTGTGCGCTAAGGGAAGCACGTGGCATGACGCCCTTTCTGTGTTTCGTGCGTTGCCCACCCTTCGGATCCTCCCAGATGATGCTACCCGAAGCTCTCTCTTCACGACGCTCTCGGAAGCCGGGCGCTGGGGACTTGCCCTCTCAGCCTTCGCTGAGCTGGAGCATTGGCTGGAGCAACGGAGTCAAGGGAGTCAAGGGAGACAACATAGACAACGGAGTCAGGAGGCCAAGTCGGCAGACACCCGGGCCGTCGTTTGTAGCGCGCTGATGAGCGTGCTGGCAACAGCTGGGCGATGGCAGCTTGCCCAGCTGCTCCTGTGCATCATGAAAGACCTAGCAGTAGAAACCCAACAGGAGTGCCACAATGCTGCCATCGACGCTTACGGGCGAGCATCGCAGTGGCAGCGAGCTCTTGATGCTTTTGTTCACAGAACGATGACAACCTCCGACTGCATCGCCTTAAATGCGGCCATTGGAGGCCAGGCTCGGGGAAGCCAGTGGTGCTCTGCAGTGTTTTTGCTTGTGACGGCACCTTCTTGGATGATGAACTGGAGCCCAATCAGCTTCAGCTCGGCTACCTATGCGTTGGCACGGTGCCTACTATGGGATCGTTCTTTGTATATCTTGAGCCTCGCAAAACAAGCGGGGCTGGTGCCGGACTCTTCGGCATACAATGCCGCAACTTGTTCGTTTGAACAGGGGCGCTGGGCGCGGACATGCAGCCTTCTCTGCACCATGGGAAGGTTGCAGGTAGAGCGTGATGATGTCGCTTGCAGCAAGCTGGTCAGCTCAGGTGCAAGCAAAGTCCAGTGGGCACTTGCTCTAGGTGTGATGGACGAAATGTCTCGCAACTCGCAGCCTTGTACCGGTGCAGTTGTCAACTGCGTGGTGCGCGCTTTGAGCAGGGCTGGGAGGTGGACCGAGGCACTGCAGGAATGGGCTAGCATGCCTAACGTTCCCGCTGCAACCCTTTCCAACTTCTCCAACTTCATGCTGGATTCCATTATCCTTGGCTACATGACGTGTGGCAGTGTGCGGCTCCTCCCGGCCATGTTGAACGAGTTGTGCTCAACAAGATTGACGCAAAAGGTAGGAAGGTCGCACGTGCTGAAGGTTTCAAGGATGGGGGTTTCGCAGGCAGTGCACCAGATGTAAAGCCAGGCCGCAGAGCCAAGAAACACGTCTGAAGGCCTACGAACAGCCTGCCTTGGCTTTAGCTTGTAAGAGTCTTGTAAGTGGGTACATGCTCGCATATTCCACACAGAGGTGCGCGAACATATTTAAACACCCACGTGCTACGGATACATTGTATGTATGCTGAACATGCCAGCTCCATGTGCCTTCTCGATTGAACTCAATCCTCAGCCCTCCGCCTTGCCAGGCAGTACGGCGCCTGGATTTTGTGACGGAGGCTCGCGGCCATGCCTGACATTGCCTGGCTCCTCGTTTGCCGGCCGCTTCCTCGCAAAAAAAGCGGCATCCTTGCAAGGCGACGAACTCGATCACGGATGCTGCCAACGTCAAGGAGCAAGCTGACACTTAGAGGCAAAAGGCGCAAGATGGCGCAAGACTCTGACTGTGTATCGGCATCAACTCCGCGCTGAGGCTCTCGGGGCTCATGCTGGGTCATGGTAGGGCGTTGCCGAAGTTCACAGCTAGCCAGGCTATCCAGGCTGCTGTTACTTCCCATAGACCTTAGGCTACACAAGCTACACCAAGGATAAGAATGCCCGCGCCATCGGCAAGATCATTCCGACTTGGCAAGCGGTCGAGGGCACAGCTGTCAACATGTGCCCTTCCGTGCTGGCAACGAAGGCGCCCTGTTGCAAACGCGAGCAGCCGATAGCAGCATGTGCGCATCCAGCTGTTTGTCATAGCAGGTGGTTTAGGACACGGCCGATTGTAGAGCTTGGTGCAAGTAATGCAGTGTGCACGGAGTGTGTGTAGGGACTGCAACCCTCAAGCATTGCACCGCGAGGACACCATGAACCATTTGTCGTGCCGGACTACGGAGTTTGTCAGCCAAGCCGGGCTATCATCTTTTGTTCCTTCGCAGGCGTGTGGGCAGTCAGTGCTGTCCCATTGACCATGGGGCTTGGAATAGTTGATTTCCGCCGATGCTTTGCCGGCGAGTTGAACTCGATGCGCTTAAGAGATCTACGGCGGAGCACAAGCATGCTCTGCCCAACGAGAGAATAATGACGACAAAAACATGAGCAACATCGACTTTATGATTTCCAGCCGAGGGCCGGAGCGGTGCTGGCAATGGAAGCACTCGCCGACAGTCCAAGTCCACACACAAACTCTCTACCGACCGTAACAGCACCAAAAGCAGCTTCAGGATTATGCAAGCAGCGAGGAGACCACATGGTCGCACGTAAGCGGCTGAAAGGGGTAGTGTGGATGGCATCGAGCCCTGCCTAGACCAATAAAAAACATCCTTGGCCCAAAAACGATCCTAGCCCCAAGCTCTGAAGGGCGGCCAACATGTCTTTCCACGAGTGTTGTCATTGCCAGGTGACGGACATCGTGGGCAATTGCCCGGCTGATCTGCCGACTACCGAGCAGGCCGTGGCTCAAGGATGCCCGCCGGTGACCCAGCAGTTCCCAGCAGTGCCGGATGTGTGGAGAGATGTGGAGTGGGGGGGATGGCATCAAAAGGGTGGCCCCAATCTGTGGCGTGATCAGCCCTGGCCTCTAAGGGCAGAGGCCAAGTCCGCTAATGTGAGCAACGTGCTTGGAAGCTTGGACTGCGCGACATCTGAGTTTTCTTTTCTTCTCAGCTTACAGGGGCGTTCTCAAGTCATTCCTTTATGCTTGGTTGCCTGGAACCAACTGCGCTCACGCACTTCGCCTCCGAGAAGGGAGGCCTGCAGTAGTCTGAATCCCTACGACCCAGACATTCCCAGACCATCCCAGACGCTGGGCTCCCGAAGCGCTGCATGTCCGAGGCGAGCATGCGCAGAAAATCGGCTGGGCCATGGCGGTGGGCGGGGGTGCTCTCGGCTTGGGTGTGTGCGGAGGACTGGGCTCAGGCTCAGGGCAGAGGCGTTAGAACCTTAAAGGGGATTCAGAATTTCAGGTTTCGATCCAGAACCTTTTCGAGACAAAGAAACTCAAATCTTGAGCTTTGATGGGATCGACCTCAACACCCCGCCATCCTTCAGGAGGTGCCGCCATGTTGAAAAGCCAGATGAGCAAGGACGAGGACGGAGTGCTGGGGTCATGCGAAGTGGCAATGAAAGAAGCCAACTCATTACCCGAGGACACTTCCGATGATGAGGAGGACGACGAGTCAGAGAACCAGACGCTCAACGGCTAAGAACGCGTGACTCGGCCCAGGCTTTTGCAGCGCAGGAACTGTCTCTAAAGCCTGGATGCAGAGCCATGAAGAGCCGAAGTGCCGATGCTTCTTCTTGTCCAGGAGGTGTGTTTTCGTTTTTTTTTTTTTTTTTTTTTTTTTTTTACGGCAGTTTACAGCCGTTCAGCCAGGTCGCCAGATGAGCCTCCGTGGACTCATGGATGATGAACGTTATTAATCACTTTTCCGGTTTTGCGGGTCTCTTCTGTGCCTGAGCCATGTGCCAGGCAGTGCTCAGGATGAGAAACTGTATTGTATTGCTTCAACGCCTAAATGTGGCATATCTCTGCGCACCTGCGCAGATCATCGCTGCACGAGAGAAAAGCATGAAAGCCTGAAAGTTTTGCCTCGGACCGTTTTTTTAGTTTGCAGTGACATGAAGGGCAGATGTGTGGACGTACACGGTCTTGTGTTTCAGCAGCTATATGCTTCTATCTGTCCGAGGGGATCGCTGCATGATGTTCAGCTTGCTGGCACGCGTAGTAGGGCCAGTAGGGAGGACTGGCGAGGTAAGGTCGCTTCCCTGCCGCATCAGACCCAAATCGACCCAATCCCTCTCACAACACGTGGGTATGCGTGAGTTAAGGGCATCCAGGTTCATCGAGCCTTCATTCCCTCGCATGCTTGCGGGATGTTTTGGTTTTGGCTTAAGTTCTGTAGACAGAGAGAAGTAGACCTGGTGCCCTGGTGCCTAGGGTGAAGGGCCATGTACCGCAATCACCAGTATCTGCTTTGCAGGAAGAGGGTGGCTTTTTGGGTTGCAGTTTCTCACACTTTTACGGGAGAGGCGTGGCTGTGGCAGAGACTTGGGGGTTTCTTTCCTCTGCTCAGGTATGACATGGACTGCATCACCTGGAGCCCTGCGGGGCGGATCCTCCAGGTGGAGTATGCCATGGAAGCCGTGAAGCAGGGGACACCCGTCCTCGGCTTGCGATCCAAGGCATGCGTTGTCCTGGTCTCTTTCAAGAGAGCCCAGTCAGAGCTGGCGCAGCACCAGCAGAAGATCTTCAAGATCGATGACCACATGGCCATTGGCATCTCTGGCCTGACAGCAGATGCGCGTGTCCTGGCCGACTACATGCGGAACGAGTGCCTGAACCATCGCTACGTCTATGACGCGGCGATGAACGTGGGCCGGCTAGTGGCGCAGGTCGCCGACAAGTCGCAGCAGAAGACCCAGAACTCCTCCAAGCGGCCCTACGGCGCCCCTTGTCCGCACGGGTCGAAGCATACCTTGCCGAGGGGACTTGCAGTATGCGCAGGCTGTGCAGGGTGCAGAGGCGTCGGTTTTCTGTCAGTCTGCTGGCAAGAGTCTGCTGGCAAGGTTGGGCTCCTCGTGGCTGGCTGTGACGAGAAAGGCCCACACCTCTACGAGACTTGCCCGAGCGGCAATTACTTCGAGTCGCTTGGCAGCGCCGAGCTTCAGCGATCCAATCTCCGCAGACGGCCCGTCTGTGACCCTTCTTGCACAGGTACTACGCCATGGCAATCGGCGGGCGCTCGACATCAGCCAAGACCTACCTAGCCTCCCGGCCGAATTGTAGAGACTCTTCCTAGCGCCCAAGCTGCCAGCAACAAAGGGCCTCGTTCTCAGGAAAAGCACTTCGCAGACTTCGAGACGGCAGACGTGGACGCGCTGGTGAAGCATGGGCTCGAGGCGGAGACCATGTTGGTAGTTTCCACATAAACGATATCTGGGCGGCAGATATGTGCTTCCGAGAACAGAACCCCCCTCTCTCCAGGCCATGAACAAGACGACCTCCTCGGATCAATCCTTGACGACCAAAAACACTGCAGTGGCCGTGATGGAGACAGGAGGCCATGTCAGATGTATAGCTTAGCAATCGTATTTCTGATCAAGAGGGCCAACAACACTTGCCGTGCTTTAGCACTAGCAGCATGCCCTCGAGGTTGACAGTCCCAATGGTATCGCCAGCGGCTAGTGGTAGTAGCAAGTTGGAGGCTCTGAAAAGTGGCCACACGGGAATCGCAGCAGTTCGAGCAGTTTTATTCTAGAAGCTGTCGAACCATGAACTTTGGCATGGCCTATGTGGTGGTAATAGCTTGGAGACGTTCGCCCGGGAGTTTTGTAAGGCTGGTTTGCTCGGCCATTTGAGGTGCCCCTACACACTTAGAGACACTGAAGTGAGGGAAGATTGGAGAGGCTGAGAGGCTTACACGGTCTTGCCAGCACAGTGGAGGCAAGTATCGGGAGCTTTCGAGTGACGAGCTGCAGAAGGTCATCGATAGCCTGGAGAAGAAGGACGGCGGCCGTTTCAATCTTCAGTGTTGTAGCTTGCTTGGTCGTGTTGGCCCAGGCAGTCTCTCTGAATGATGTGAATGAGCTTGTAAGATGTGACAAGTTTGTTTCCAGACTTGGGCGTTGAAGGCATGCAAGAGCATCAAATCGCTTGGCAGGATGTCCGTTCACAAGTCGTAAAGAAAACAAGAAAATCTGTGCTCACTGCTAACAGGGGGCAAAAAAACTCGCCCAAACCTTCTGGCTGCGAAAATGCTCGCCAAACCCAAACCCCATATGGAGTCACCTAAATCCCTACCCCGGTTCAACCTCCCAAGCCGCCTGAACCCCAAGCCTTCCGAGACTTCTTGTATCTTCTTTCGGCAGACCCTGGGCTTGTTTTGTTGCAGGCAGAGGCCCCCTTCAATCCTTCAATCCTTCAATCCTTCAATCCTTCAATCCTTCAATCCTTCAATCCTTCAATCCTTCAATCCTTCAATCCTTCAATCCTTCAATCTTCCATGCAAAAAACCTGGACTTCAGGCGGAGGACGAGCCCATGCCGGACGAGCCCACGCCGGCGGCGGAGAGCGCTGAGAGCGCGGCTCCCATGGACACCACGTAAGAGGACCAAGAACTCTGGGGAAGGTATAAGGTTTCGGGAGTTTCTTCTGTCTTGGTTATTGTGCGATGTGTCGCTCCGACCTTTGCGGAGCTCTTCAGGTGATTCTGCCCACCTTTCATGGATTGGGAGGTGTCTGGAAGCGGAGTTTCGGTACCAGCTACCCTGCCTCCAAGCAGACGTGAAGCCCACCGCAGGACGTCCCAATTCGAAGCAGCCGGGCCTCATTTGCCGCAGCTTCCGGATCCCCCACAGCGAACAGGATGGAGGAGAAAAGCAGTTCAGGTTACCCGGAGTTGGGTGAACAAGGTTGAGTTCTGCTGTCTCCGGCGTCAGCATGTGCTGGGGCATTGCCCATTTGCAGGCCAACTCAGGCCAACTGTGCGTCTGCACTTCTGCGCATGTTTAGGCCTTCAGTCTGAGCCCAGTTCATCACAAGGGCTGAGCGGATCAACGATTTTGATGCTTGTCTTTGTCCTTTTGGGCTCAAACCGTCGCACCGATCTAGTGGGTGCTGTTTTTTAAACGCCTTCTTGATCCCAGGAGAGTTCACAATGTCATCTGCCTGACTAACTCAGCACGTATGGAAGCCAAAGCACCTCAGATACAGTCAGCCTATGTGGGGAGCATGTGGACTACTAGGTGCAAGTTCACATGGCATTAACGTTTGCGCCGCGCTCAGCCTGAGATGTTTTAGACTCGCCTGTCATGAGCACTTTTCCCTGCTGGAAAGCTTTGGAACGAACCTCACGCACGACCTTGATACGTCTTAATGCGAATCGTCTCGAAGACGAGTCCAACTCCAACCCCTGCATCCATCACCTCACGTGGTCCTCTGGGCTTTGCTATCCGGCTTTGAATATCATAGCATTTCTGTGTTACTAGTCAATATCAGATTTGTGTTCGGATATAGTACACCCCGGATTTGTTTTTGGACCAAGTCCTAAGCCGTGCAATGCTTGCGGCAAAATTCCAAACCCCATCGCGCGAGCGTTGTGTTTGCAAATGGGGGGGCGGGGAGTTTGTATGGGTCGTTTTAAGACTTAGTTCGGGGGGGCTGCGCCCCCCCCCAACCCCCGCTGGTTGTAGAATCTAGGCCGTGCAATGCTGGCGTTCTAAGCCGTGCAAGGCTTGCTTCAAAAGCATGTGAATACTTGCCAAACCCCATCATGCGAGCATGATGTTTGCGAATGGGGGGTCTGCCCCGCCCCCCCCCCCCCCACCCCGAGGGGCGTGAGGATTGTTTTTTCATGTTTCACCCTATTCAAGAGCTTTCCCTTCCTTTGCCTCATGAATTGAATATTGACAAGCACGGCCCCCCCCCCCCAAGACCTGGCCTTGGCTTCTTCTCCTCATCCTGAAAAGGCGCACCGCAGCGCAGCAATTGCAGTCTCTGTGTCTTCGTGGCGACCCCCCCCTCAAACGCTGTCTCCCCTCAACTGCTGTCTCGAGGAGTGCACCTGTTGACTCGCGAGAGTCCTTGCCAGGATGATTGTTGTTCCATCTTTTCTTTTCTTCAGTTGCCTTCTCGGGAGAGTTCAGTTAAACCTCGATAAAACCCTATAGCGCGGTACGTAGTTGGCTTACTGGCTGGTTTCTTTGAAAGGTCCCGGTGCTCCGATGGCGAGCCTCACCCCTTCAATCATCGTAAGCAGCTGGCTCTAGTATAAACATACCTCGAACCGTGCCTGGTCCCAGAATTCCCAGAGACACGCGGTGAGGCCCAGTCTTGACCATCGAAATGGCCTGGCTGTCGGGTTGAGGTGCTCTGTGGCCCATGGCCTTCTTTGGCCGCCACAAACCCCAAGACTTAAGCTGGGAGCGTTGCCTGTGAGCAGGTGGCAAGGGATGGCTCTACTATACCTGGTCTGTGACCTCGCGCCTTGCCATCATTCCATTGTTCTGGAAAGAGTTCTCCATCTTGTGTTAAAACAGGCTCGCTGAGGTCTTGAAGATGTGGATCTGGATATTGAGACGTATACTAGTGGCAACATTGGAAGGATAACGTGGTCTTCACGTTCACTTCGATTTCGCGGTCAACATGGGAGTTCTCGCGACTGTCACCGTTCCATCAAGAGAACGGCAAGGACTGGTCACGGCAGGTGTGCGCGCATATGTTGTGCACGTGCCCACGTTCCTGGCCACCTGCAGCACCCTTGAGTTTGATGGGAATATCCTGACGAGAAGCTCCACATGCCACAAGCCTGCACAGACCATGGTTTTCTTGCTGAACCTGGGCAGCATGACCCCCAAAAGCTTGCTGCCCCACCAACGGTTTCCTGCTCTCGCCCAAAGTATGCCACACCCTGAGTCCGAAGTCCTGTGCCCTGACAGCCCGCAAGCTCCAAGTCAAGTCGGCACCATGTTGGGCCATGGCCCCTGGGCGCGGTGCGACGGCAGCTGCTGCGTGCACTGCCTGGCCCACTCCGGGCTCAGGGTTCACAACAAGGGGCCAGAGGATGGCTGAAAGCAGGTTTGTTGGAGGCTTTTCTTAAGGGTGTTCTTTTAGCCGCCAGTTTTTTGTAAGGATAAAGGGGGTGTACCATCGTAGCCTCTTGTGGTAACTGGTTCTGTAAGCGGGCAGGAGTTATTAGGTTTAGAGGCAGTCCCTCGGCAAGAAGGGTTTGTGCTGGAAGCCAGCCCGAAGCAAGTCCCAAACCACTCGAGCGGCAGAAACCCGTCGAACCCTCAGAAACCAGTCCAGATCCTATATAGAGCTAATAGAACCAAAACATCCCGAAGTGGAGTAGGGAAGTTTCGACTCGGAACCGAACGGCATCGCCAGCACAGTCCGAACAAAGTGCGTTTGAATCCTCGACGACAGTCAGCCAGACGGTTGGCCAAAGCATGTTCTTGAAGTCTTGCTAAGAACCTGCACTACACCCGGCGAAAAACCATCCCAAACCCTAAGCACTGCCAGTTTCCTCCTCCTCATCGTGCTGCTCCTGGGCCGCCGCTGCGCCTTTCGCCTTCCGACCTCGGCGTTCGTCCCGCCACCCGCGGGCCTTGCGCCCTGGGCGGACCGGTCACTAGAGGCCAAGGGCAAGACATCCCCAAAAGCCCTCAAAAAACCCTGAGATTCAAAAAGCGAACCCGCGCAGCCGTGAATGGTTTGTGTCCGTAGAAGACATCTGTCAAGCACTTTTGCCATTGGACACATTGACATCTATCGCCTTAGATCGGAAACATGGCAAACCTTTCCACAGAGAAGAGGGTTTCAGAGTTAGGAGGGCTTTGTGTCCCATGACTCAGCCAAGCAAGGCGGGATCGAGCGGTCCTCAAGTCACACACGAGAACAGCGCAGTGCCAGAGCAGTTAAGACCAGCACTCGGCCTTTCCATGCCTCAAGCTGCATGTCCTCATGCAACTCTGCTCGGCAGTCCAAACGGACAAGGGACATCCCAGAAAGCGGCACTCTGAAAGGTGATATGTCCACCATGGGTTTGGATTCAGGGTTGGGATTTTCTCGGATCACGCGGAACTTGACTTGCTGTGATGTGGCCAAGGGTTCTCTTCTGTCCTTCGTCGCAACCTTTGGGTTTGGGGGGCTAAGCCGGAGCGCTGGACCCCAGTGAGAGTGCTGAAGCTGCGAGGCTGTCGGGCAGGTAAGAACAGTATGACCATCGCAAAGCATAGCCCAACCGAACGAAGCACTCGGAGAGACCTCGCCTGAGCCTTGAATCCCATTTGAATCCCCTGCGGCCATTGACCCTCCAAACCTGTGACGCCACAGTCAAGAATCCTACAACGCGTGGTCTCCAACACTTCCAGGTCTTCGGGGTCCTGGTCGCTGCGGCGCCGCGCGTGGACCCCCGCACGCTGCTCCACGCTGCGGCGGTGCTGGCTGAGTTCTTGGACCAGGCTGTGTGCTTGGGTGTTGAGGACTTAGTCGGCTCAGTCGCCGTCTTCTTGTCGGACGTCGAAGCGTGCGATCAACCCTATGCACGTGTGCATCCGTGGTGTCTGAATCGAGCGCATGGGGTGGTGCCGTGCGCTGTGGCATGCGATTCTGCTCATTCCTTAGATCCAAGCAAGCCTGCTGCAAAAGAAAGGGGCTTTGGGTTTCAACAGTTCCCGCATGCTTCTTACGGGGGAGGCTTCTGCGAGCAAGCGCGGGTTTTGTTGTTGGTGTTAAATCCATGCCACCAAAATACGCCAGTAGGCAGGAGGTGTAGGAATGAGCCGAGAGGCTCTGCATATTTCGAGCTTTTTCATACGGCGCCCATTATGTTCACCTGTACGCGCTCTGCTATGAAGCGCTGGTGGGTGGCAATATCTTCCGAAACCGCTTTTTGAGTAGCTGAGCCAGCTTTGGGCTCGCACCCACGCGCGCCTAAAGACTGACGTGTTGACCAGCGAGAGGCGTCCAAGCCTTCCAAGCCCTTGTCGCAGGACCAGGATGGTTTTGCAGACGTGCCCGAGGTGTCTTGGCAGTTGCAAGAGCACCAGGCGGTGGTCTTGCTCCTTGCAGATGAAGGCCACAGGCTTTAAAAAACACCACGTCCTGATCCGGACTGGGGCTTGAGTAGTGTAGGAGCCCAGCTGTAGCGTGCCAGTTTACATGGCGCAGCCTGGACCGACTTGTGCAGTCTCACGTGGATAATGATGGCCAGCGTCCAAATGCTGCCAGACGAGTACCTGACTGGCGCTGGCGCCGTCGAAGGCCTGGAGAGTGAAGTCATCAAGAACGACAATCCAGGCTGGAACTGCTCCGCTCCTCAGATCGCAGACATGCAGTTTTTTTTGGTAGCAGCGTGTTAGTATTGTTAGTAGTCTTCACTTCTTGAGGGTGGGTGCGAGGGAGTGAGGGCTGGGTGGGTAAAGCCCCGAAGCTTGCGAGGGGAGTTGCCCCAACTCGCCTCAATTTGCCCCACACTTGCCCCCACGCTCGCCCCAACTTGCCCCAACTTTGCCCCGCTGCACACTTGCCTTAACTGGCCCCCCATATTCCGTCCTTACCCTCGCACCCATCCCTACTTTCCAGCCCCACTCCTGTGCCAGTCCGCCAAGTCAATTTCCGGGGCCCTCACGCCTGCTGGCGCAGGAGACGCTTACCACGCCACAGGGCAAGTGAGGCAGCTGGGGCAGTGGGGGCACGGGCAAAGCGGGGCAAGTGGGGCGTGACGATTTGAAGCCGCCCCTCCCGACACGCTCAATATCTTCGCCAGCAAACCTGCAGCTCAAGGTTGCAGAAATAAATGCTCACAAACATGCATGAAACACCAATGAGTGGTGATGTCACCGTGTCAGAGACAGTAGCTGCTGCAGCAGGGGGTAGGGCAGGGCATTCGCAGTAGTATGGTAGTGGCCGTTGCTCCAACTACCCTTGTGTCATCACCAAGGTTCGGGGTGTTTTCGTCTTCTCCGAACTTTTCCAGACAGAGACAAGGCGCAAAGATGGAGAAGATGCAGCCTGGGAGGACACTGCTCAAGTTTGCCGCGTTTGTGTGACGTGCGGGGGTGTCCAACTCAGAGGGCGCGGACGCAGCTGGGCTTCACGATGGGTTCAATCCAGCTGTCTGGGCCATTCTGGGCCTGTGAATTCTGTGAATCTGTCGTCGCAATATATGTCTGTGTCGTCAGGTCTTGGCTCTGGGAGTCCGAAAGGCTGACAGGCTTGTGGACGACAGGTGAATTAGGATCAGGTGTGCTTTCAACGGACCGGCTTTCTTGAAATCCATGCCCATGAAAAGAGCCTTCAGTCTTTCATGCCGTGCTGCAATAGGAAATTCTGCACCTCATCACTCACGTCGGGTATGGCTGCGCTTTTCCAGAGAGGCCACTTACATGCCAGCATCATGAGCGGTCTCGGTCTGTGCCGTAGCCGAGATTGATCTGTCGTTGGACCCCTGGGATCTGCAACCAGAACAAAGCGATATGCTGCTGCCAAACGCAACCGTCGGCTTTGCAGGTGGGGCTTCCAACAGATCTCCGAGAAGGCAGGCGCTGTGAGAGTCTTTCTCACGATGGTGATGTAGGGTGGGGGCGGCTTGTGGGTTCGGAGATGCGTTATGGTTATACGATTTATATGAGATCGTTTGTGTTTTTACAGGTTGTTTTTTGTTCCGCATTGGCTTCGGTCCTGCCGATTCGCAAAATTGGCAGTGAACCTATGCAAAATGCCAGAACATTGCAGAACTCAATCGGTTCTTGACTGATTTCTGCATCTCCTGAGATCTCCTGAGTATGCAAGCGAACGTGAAAGCTGGTCGCTGCGCATGCTTGCGTCGGGTTTTCGACGGACAGCAGCGGGCCAGGTATGCCGTGCTTTGTAGACCATCCAGTGCCCTGCGGTCCACGCATGTCCAGACTACAGACTTGAATTCAGAAGCCTTCTAAAGTCGAAACCCTCCGTGAAACACAAGCCAAAGCCATTCTTTGAACCTGAGCGTTTAGCAGGGCATCCGCTCGGAGCTTTCACGTGCTCTGGACATTGTGCCTTGGCTGGGCAATTGGGCGTGGTTCCGCAAAAAAGGCTGTTTCACGGCTACGGCCGGCTAGGGGTTGCAGAGTGCAAAGTTCTGGGTTTAGGGCAGAGGGGTGTTGAACTTAGCTGCCCGTGAGTGGACTCGGGAGCTTGATGTGCACAGGCTTTGGGCAGCTGCCCTCCCAGCTACACCGGCCGACAGGGACGCAAGGAGAGAGCCTCCTGGCTGAAGCGGCGCGTTCCTGCAGAGTCTCCCCCGGTGCACATAAAGCGTGCGTTAGGAAGCCCTTAAAGCCTTCACCTAGTACGCCAAACCAAGTGCTGGCAGCACAGGCTGCGGCTTTGGATTTCCAGAGTCTTTGAGCCAAAGCTTTTGCAAGGACTGCCATTACTTCTACGAGGATCCCAGCTGCCGTGATCTCATCTCAACCTCTTCGATAAGCAGATCAGACAACAAGTAGCGAATGGAGCCGTGAGGTTTCTACCCGTGCCTTGTGAATGAGTACATCTTCCAAGCCTGGCGCACTCGGCAGGGAGGCCGCAGCTGCAGCCCCTCACTGGAGCACGAGTACTCGCACTGCACACAGGAGTGACGGAGGTCACGGAGGTCAAGCAGTGGTCAAGTCTGGTCTTTGCGCCTTTTCAGGAGCTGCTCCGCCTGCACGACCCAGAAGGCAGATTGTTTTGGGGAAGGATCCTCGAGTGTCCTTTCTAGTTTTTCTAGGGGACTATGTTCATCTATCGGTTCTGTCCCAGACGGCCGACCTTCAAAGCCAACATCTACGCCTTCCTCGCAGGGGTTCGGCTCAAGTGCTTCAGAGAGAGACAGAGAGAGAAGCGGGGCCCGGTGCCCCCGGTGCCCAGGGTAGAAGGGGCCATGTACCGCAATCATCAGCATCTACTCCGCAGGGAGTCGTGGGTTTCTTCTGTTCTCCCATGTTATTTCCTCGTCTGCAGTCTGCAGGGTCGGTTTCAGAGGTGAATCAGTTGAGCTTGTGGAGCGCGCTCGCGAGGGCTCGCATGCAAGAATTGGCAGCCACCAGCTTCCGCAAGTGCGCGTGCGCGTGGAAAGGGGTCCGGGAGTGCATGGCAGCCAACCGATCGGTAACCGCCATCGTGAGGCCCCGGCATCGCCAGGGTGCCATGGTGCTGGTTGGTTGGTTGGTTGGTTGGTTGGTTGGTTGGTTGGTTGGTTGGTTGGTTGGTTGGTTGGTTGGTTGGTGTGTGTGTGTGTGTGCGCGCGCGCATGGTTTTGCATGTTCCCATTCCTCAAGATGAGGGTCCACTTTGGAACTTAGCATGTGGCGGGTCCGACAAATCGGACAGACACCTATGTTGGGATCTATATGTTGGACGCCGGATCGTTGTTGCATGGCATTGTGATCAGGGGGTTTCGCAGAATGCAGTAGGAGGCCTGTATCTCTGGACCGCAAAGAATGTAAAGACTTGGGGGTTTCTTTCCTCTGCTCAGGTATGACATGGACTGCATCACCTGGAGCCCTGCGGGGCGGATCCTCCAGGTGGAGTATGCCATGGAAGCCGTGAAGCAGGGGACACCCGTCCTCGGCTTGCGATCCAAGGCATGCGTTGTCCTGGTCTCTTTCAAGAGAGCCCAGTCAGAGCTGGCGCAGCACCAGCAGAAGATCTTCAAGATCGATGACCACATGGCCATTGGTATCTCTGGCCTGACAGCAGATGCGCGTGTCCTGGCCGACTACATGCGGAACGAGTGCCTGAACCATCGCTATGTCTATGACGCGGCGATGAACGTGGGCCGGCTCGTGGCGCAGGTCGCCGACAAGTCGCAGCAGAAGACCCAGAACTCCTCCAAGCGGCCCTACGGCGCCCCTTGTCCGCATGGGTCGAAGCATACCTTGCCGAGGGGACTTGCAGTATTGCAGAGGCGTCGGTTTTCTGTCAGTCTGCTGGCAAGAGTCTGCTGGCAAGGTTGGGCTCCTCGTGGCTGGCTGTGACGAGAAAGGCCCACACCTCTACGAGACTTGCCCGAGCGGCAATTACTTCGAGTCGCTTGGCAGCGCCGAGATTCAGCGATCCAATCTCCGCAGACGGCCCGTCTGTGACCCTTCTTGCACAGGTACTACGCCATGGCAATCGGCGGGCGCTCGACATCAGCCAAGACCTACCTAGCCTCCCGGCCGAAGTGTAGTGACTCTTCCGAGCGCCCAAGCTGCCAGCAACAAAGGGCCTCGTTCTCAGGAGAAGCACTTTGCAGACTTCGAGACGGCAGACGTGGACGCGCTGGTGAAGCACGGACTTGAGGCATTGAAAGTTGGGGCAGGTGGAGGTTGTTTCATTGGGTGATCGTCGCACGGATTCTCTTCTCTAGACTGAAGTGTTCAAGTCCATACTGAGTTTGGGGCTCACCTGGGGCCTTGATGTGGTGAGGCTTTGAGACGGAGCAGGAAGCCGCTTATTTCCGAGGGGAGAGTGAGGCCCCCCAGTTCTGCCCAACTTAAAGCCCACAAGGCCATGAACAAGACGACCTCCTCGGATCAGTCCTTGACGCCCAAGAACACGGCCGTGGCCGTGATGGAATCGGGAGGTCCGGGGCTTCAGGGCAACCCGCCCCCCCCCAGAATCCCTTGCCGTCCATTCGGAGTTTAGAAAGTTTCGTGGGGGAGGGTGTGAAGCCATTGTGCGCCGAGCTGTGCTTTTGGGTCTGTCATCTTTCTTTGGGGGTACTTGAAAAGTACTACGACGGGGTCGTCCTCATGCAACATGCAGCAGGCAAGTATCGCGAGCTCTCGAGTGACGAGCTGCAAAAGTTCATCGACGGTCTGGAGAAGAAGGACCCAAACCACGGGACCCTAAACACGTCTTGTTGCACGGTCTTTTTCGATAGGATTTGTTGGCATATTATCTCACCCACCTCCTCTAAAACCTTTGGTATCCTCTTGATCTCCTGGAGAACATCTAAGCGTATACTAAACCCTCAACCCTAGTAAGCCTACAACCTAAGGCTAAAACCCCCTGAATGGATCGTAATTTTCGCCAACTCAGTTATGAACATTTGCCCGTGAATGCTCAGCTATGCGGAAGGGAAAACGTCCCCAAGCCCGTCAAACCCCTAAACTCTTGGCCCTGAACCCTATCAACCCTACAAGGCAAGGCCCTAGAGGGCCTGAAACACCCATAAGCCTTATACACCCAATAAGTCCAAAGTCTACAAGCTTAAGCCTGACCCTGAATCCCGCACACGCAAGCCACAAATCCAAGACCCACAGGCACTCCACAGTGGGCAAGGGGGACCTCACCCCAGCCAGAGGGGGGGGAGCGTGTAACCCCACACAGAATGGCTGATGTGTCAGCTGATGCCCGCCCCTCTGTACCCAGCTGGCCCGGCCGGTGATGCCCTCAAGAAGTTCCTTAATAAGCTCCAGATTGAAATGCAGCCGTGCGCAGGCAGATGACGAGCCCATGCCCGAAGAGCCAGCGCCGGCGGCGGAGCCCACACCGGCGGCGGACGGCGCAGCTCCCATGGACACTTCGTGAGGCCCACAAGTCTTGGGGGTTGCAATGGCGGCTTCGAAGTGGCCTGAGATTGCTTGTCTTGCAGTGACGCAGGGGCCGGGCCAAACCGCCTCTTCCGTGACTGGGTTGCAAAACGTGTGGCCCCCCTCCCCCAGCTTACCTGGAGCTCGTATGATTTTGCAGCAGCTCTTGGGCCCTTGAGGGCGACACGAAGCTTTGCAAAGAGCCGCGTAGGTCGAGGCTTCAAATTTTATCCTTTTTCTAGATGGCTCGCTGCTCAGTCAGATCTGCCAAGGACCCGTTGGTGGTGGGGGGGCTGAAATCTCACACGGCCAGAGACAAGCCTGAAGCGCAGCCTGAAGCGCTGCAATGCGATTCGCCTCAGTACCGCAGGCCTTAGGGCCTTAGGGGGCCAATGCCCATTACGTACAAACCCACACCCCATGATCTACTTGCAAGCCCCTGCCAGAAGCACAGACATCCAAACGACAAGATCTAGAATCTAGAATGCTCGAACAGCGCGCCGGCATCGTAGCTTTGCAGGTTGCAGCACCGTGCAGGATCCAACTGCAGGTGCAGAATGTCTCACGTTGAGACACCAGTGCGGGCGGAACTCCCTCATAGAATATGAGCCCAGATGACATTGCCAGTATGTCATGGTGTGGTGCGAAGTTCCTGCCGCCGAGCTGACATGGCACCTATGTGGTGTCAGCTTCTAGGATCCCCAGCGAACAGGACGGGGCCAAAAGAGACAGCAAGAGACGTTCTGACCTTCTGACAGCGAGGTTCAGTAGTATAGCCGGCGCAACACAGCAAGCAGGAGGTAACCCTTGTAAGTACTTGTAGCCGCTGTAGCCTGGAGGCTTTCGCCTCGCGGGTCTGCTGCCACAGGGGCTGCCACGAGGCCTCTACAGGCAGTCAGGGAGATCGCACTTGAAAGGGGCAGTGCGGCTAAATGGGATGATGGCTGCAGCTCGTGCATTTGCTGACAACCTGAGACGGTACACCTGCCCAAGAGCTCTCAGCGTCAAGTGATGGGAAGGGTACTTGGGGCTTGAAGTCATGTTTCCGAATCTTGGGTATCAAAAATCTCATTGCGCCACCACGCCGCAGACCAGCGCACAGCATTTGGGGCGACCTCGACGACCTCTGCCCATTCTGAGCTTTCCGAGTCCGACTTGCCGGGGAAAAAAGGGGCCTTCAGAGCCGAGAGAGGGACAGATCTGCCCTGTTGGAGTGCTGATAGTGTAGTCATTTGCTGGCTTATCACCCAGCAAGGGCCACATGAAACCGTCCGGCAGAACCATCTCAACATGCGTATGTACTGCAATGTAGCGGCAACCCTGAGCGTCCCTAGCCTTGTCAGAGACAGTGAGGACAAGTTCGTTATTCGCCAGGTCGGGGGGGGGGGGGGGGGGGGCGGGGGCAGGAGTGACTCTTTCTATATCATTGTAGAGGGGCTGCGTGGTGTTCAGCGTTCAGAGAGAGCGTTTGCAAGACGGTGGCTATGTTGAGTTTGGAGTCTGGTCGTATCGCTGGAGTCTCTTGTGCATGTGGAATGCGTACTGCAGTGCTGCAGGCTGTTGGCACAGCTAGCAGTCACGACGATTGACCGCTTGCAATGCACATGGGCCGGCGTCTGTTTAGCAATCTTGTGCTCAGGCTCCCGGTGATACTGGACTTCGAGTGGGGCTCAGAAACAGGGTCGCCAGGGTGAGGATATCTAAAGGTGCGTCAGGGTTTAGCGGAAGAGTCGTCGTCGGCTGTTGCCCGTTTTTTCAGTGAAAGCTTTTGTCGGAAGGAGCCTGCAGCCCGCGAGACACCAGCAACAACCATCGCACCAACCGGGTGCAAGCTCCTCAAGCAACAACAAGCTAAATCTACAAATGTTTTAGGGGTCCCGGTGATAGATAACCAGATAACCTCCCCCCTTATGTTAGGATACCCCAGCACGGACAACGATGTCGACGACGGACCATGGGGGTATGCAGCCCGCAAATCCAGGTTGGGTCTTGGAGAACCAGTCCAAGGGCGCGGGGAACGTCTTCGGTACCCCGAAGGACTCCGGGTGCTTACTATAAGCATGCTTCCCAGGTTCAGGGTTGTGTTGTCTGCCAAGTTTCCGGCATTCAGGAACCAGCTCCGCATTCAAAAGATTTTATTTAGGGATGCGGGCAGAACTGGCCTTTTACATATCAAGATCAAGTTCGACTGCCGCATAGCTGAGGCTGCAACTTTCAGGGGTCTCCCTGCATGTTGTGTTGCTCATTCGCACCTATCTTGATCTCGACGCGCACCACGGGCGGGAACGGCCACCCTTGGCACACGCAAGCCATGGGGCAGAACATGGAGTGGCCTCGAAACCCAGGCCCTAGACCAACGGGCAGCCAACGGGCTCATACGCCCTAAAACCCCTAGACTCCCTAGAGGCTTTGCCCCTAGCAAGAAGCTTGTAGGAAGGACAGTTGACACGCCTGCACAGCCCTCCTGAGTTGAAACGCTCTGGGACCAAAGACTTTGACTATAATTGACTAAGGCAGCTGCCCAACCGTAACGGCCCTGAAGACCAAAAAGTCTCCTGGTCGCTTGACAGTACCCCGGCAACGGTCCGCCATTTCAGGGCAGCCCCTCCCCCCCGCGGGGGATGCGTGGGCCCCAGATCACACCCAAGAGCTCCGTGCTCACAGCTGCGTCGCCATCCACACAGCGGGTTCTGAGGAGAAAGCAGACCTCGCCGAGCCCAGGTGGACGGTGTGGGATTGTCCCTTTCACCTCACGGATGTGATGCCAAGATATGACGCGATCCAGTCACCCTTCACGGTGCAGGCAGGTTTTGGTTGAACGTCCGGGGCAGGGTGTGAAGACACCCAACAAGTGGGCCCGGCTAAGTGATGATCCTTGAGCAGGGCTGGCCTAAAGTGCACTTGCGGTCCCGGCTTACCCTGAAACGGAGACTGGGGTTCAAAAAGGCAGGAAGTGGACAGGTGCGGTCAATGGCCGCTGCTTCTTAGTCGAGCGTATTCTATCTTAAGGTCCAACATTGGCCTACCAGAATGCCATCAACCCCCAATGCATCCCAATTCCCAAACTCCGGTTTTGGATAGGACCGATCGGATCGGTGAGGAGAGATGCGAGTTGAAAGTGGGTTTCTTGGGTTTGCTGCCATGTCCTGTTCCGAAGGTCCCGTTCGTGGAGATGTCCTACCGGGAGGAGGCTCCTTCAGTTCTTGATCGGGTTCTACTACAGCCTCTTCCTTCTCATGTAAGGCACAAAAAATCTGCAATTACCTACAGCCTCCACTTATTTTGCATGGCTTGCAACCCTGAAGACCCTAAAGTTGCTTTGCTACATAGCTGCCGAGCAGAGCCCAAGAATCCTTGTAAGTGGAGCAGCATGCCTGCCTAATTTTGGGGAACCCGGCTTGCGTATTCTTCCTCAGCTTCTTGTATCCCGAGTTTCTCTTGTCAGCCGTCTCCCCAAAGTGCCATCCAAAGTGCCATCCAAACTGCCATGATTCGTGTCGGTTGTTGATTTAGGGTTCAGGGTTTAGGGTTTAGGGCGCTCACCTTTCCCGCCTATGACACCGCGCCTGCGGTCATGGCTTTCACGGAGGGGTGTGGTGACAAAATTCTCTAAATTTCCAATAACTTCAGGCAACAACACGCCAACAGTTCTGAATTTCACAATTCCAAGTTTCTAAGCGAGATTCCCAAACTCCACGGCTCCAAAAGTGTCAGGCTCAGAAAAATTCCAAGAGCGCTCTCACAGACTGCAACGACAGGATCACCAACAGCACCAACAACACCAACCGCGCCAACAGCACCAGCAGCACCAACAGCAGTGACAAGAGACATGGCAGCAGCACCAGTAGCAGTAGCAGCAACAGCGGCTGCTGCGGCGGCCGCAGCAGCAGCAGCAGCAGCAGCAGCAGCAGCAGCAGCAGCAGCAGCAGCAGCAGCAGCAGCAGCAGCAGCAGCAGCAGCAGCAGCAGCAGCAGCAGCAGCAGCAGCAGCAGCAGCACCCGCACCCGCACCCCTGCACAACCGCACCCCTGCACCCCTGCACCCCTGCACCGCTGCACCCCTGCACCCCTGCACCCTGCACTTGCACCACCACAACACCGCCAGTAAAAGCCGCAACAGCAGCAGCAACATAAGCAACAACACTACCACCAGCCCACCGCCCGAAATTGCTCAAACCTTGTTTGGTTGCAAGCCTGCTGCAGGGGGCAGTGGCTTACCTGAACCTGGTGATACGCGAGTCGGCTATGGACGATGAGTCGCTTGCTCCTGGGACGCGAATTCGGAACAGTTCCAAGTTTCTCCGCACTTTCTGCCCCGCTCCTTGCAGGAAGCCGGGGAAAAAAGTTGGCTCTTGTGTTCCTTGTATTTTCTGTGAGCTTTAGGAATGTTGCAGCAGCAGACCGGGTACCCCGATAGCTTTCCCACTCCCAGAGTCGTGGTGGCTGCTCAGGACCGGGCCTTGCAAGAAATGAGGCGGCGCCCTTCTATTCTTGTGGGGTCGTTCCAAATTCTACGGGGTAGCCGTGATGATGATGGTGGAATCTACAAGAGGACGCACATGTTTCAATCTTTTGGGATGAGGCTTCACCGAGGCTTTTTGCAATTTCGACGCGCAGCTGGAAGCCTTCAGAAAACGACCGTGCGTTGTTGCTGAATGATTCTTGCATAGTGATTGTGAAGCAATGGGGGTCTTCTGTGTTTGTACGTTTGGTAGCCGAACCCCTTGGATGCTCTTCCTGTTTCTAGTGATCTGAAACTTATCAAAAACGTGTCTGCGAGAACCCTAAGCCGAGCCCCCTTTTTCGCTCTGCGATGCGGATTCGCCCCAGCTGTGCAGGAGGGAAACCAAAAACCCTAAATTCTAAACCCCCTCAATTCTAAACCCAGGATCCCTCATCCCCCACACCCAGAGTTCAAGCCCGGCCAAAAAGAGGCGCGTCATGATCAACCTTGCAAAGCGGCCCGAGATGGTCAAAGCCCCAGAGGATCTCTCGTTTTAGAAGGGTCCACGGATTAACCCTTGGCTTTGGGTTTCGGGCTTGAGGGGGCAAAAGTAGGGGGGGAGGCCTGTTGGAGTTTGGAGGCGTTTTTGCTCCGAGGTTGGTATGTCGGAGTGGGCACGCACGGGGCTTGGGGGGTTTCACCTCTCATCAAAGCCCTAGAAGCATTCCTCGGAATATGCTGAATGCACGCAGAATCACCAGACAAAGCCCCGAATGCACCAGACGCAGCCAGAAACCACCTGGAAGACCCTTCCAGAAACCGCAGAAACCAGAGCATGGTGAGCAGGTGCTGTTGATCCGGACCGATGCACGGCAAGCCACGTCGGCCCCAAGTCCGCAGAATGGGCGCTTGGGGGGGTTTGTAAGAGTCAGTTTGTGATTGCAGGCGGTATAACTCGGGTTTGTCATCGCCTTCGGTTCCTGTAGGAACTCTTGTGGGGATACTCTTGGTGCTCCGTGTCCAGGAGGGCAAGGTTGTTGAGGCCGACAACGTAGCACACACACACACACACACGTACATTGATACATATGCAAAAAGTATATATGTTACATACGCACACATAGATAGATATATCCATGAAGAGTGTACCCTGCCACAACTTCAAGAACAATGTCCGGGAGGTTTTCATTTGCGAAGTGTCGCAGCTCGAGTTGAGGCCTTGGAACTGAGGAGTTTAGCTTATCATTCCGTATCAGCATTAATCTAAGAAATATTCAACATACCCCTAGGGCATACCCCTTAAAAACGTGAGGGGTATGGTAAGATCCTCCATTAGACTCCCTAATATGATCCTTTCCTTTAGGTTAAGGGGTATGGGTTTGGGGTATGGTGAATTATTCTTAGGATTAAGTTAGCTATAAAATTAAGTATAAAACAAGAAGAACCCGCTAATTCGCTAAACCTTGTAGTCAATCCTAAGCAGATTGAGCCGACTGAGGTGCCTGCGCTGCGGCATGTCCGGAAGTTCTTGGCTTTTGTGCAGAAGGACTTCTGGCAGGGAGGGTGCAGGATGGGGTCTGGTTGGGGCCAGCCGCGCGCAGGCAAGCGGTGAGACTTTTGTGGCGGCCAGGACGTGGGAACGGAGAGTGTTCTCGTCGGTCGTGGCAGTGCGATCATCCTTGCCCGGGCCTAACAGGGCTTTCGAAAGATCACCCCGACTGAGGCTGCAAATGCTGAAGCCATCACTTCCAGAACGGACGCGAAGTTCTCTTAGTTAATTGGGAGATGAAGTCCATCTGAGCTGGCAAGCCCAACGGCCGTAGTTTGCAGATTATTTTGAGTCGAGGAGACTCTGCTTGGGTTCTTTGCTGTATCTATTGCGCAGTTTGGCTCAGCTGTAGGTTCTGCCCCTGAATCTGCTTGTGCTGCTTCTCACAAGAGAGCCGCCGCACCGAAACCGCGATGGGTTGCAATAGCTCGATGACCGTGCCGGCTTTGGAGGTAGTTGTGCAAGACGGGAAGGCAGCCAAAGCTCTTTTTGAGTTTTGCCGCAAGGATGAAAAAGCTGCCCGTCTGTCGAGAGCGCACAGGCGCCCCGTGGACATGGATTCGTCATGGGATTTCGAGAGGACGCCTATTGCCGTGCCTTATGGCATGTCCGTCCGCCATGCGCCCACGCGGAAATTGCACGAGCGGCATCTGGAGAAGCTGAACCGTCTCAGATATGAACAGCAGTTCACTTTTGCTCTTTCTTGTTCACGACGAAGTAACGAAACGCTTAGTAGTCAGCAGTCGTTTCGGATAATGGCACTCAAAGTTGTCTTGCCATCTCTTCCAAGCTACAGCAAAGGCTTCCTCGCTGGTGTGGAGCATCAGCCCCAAGTGCTGGAGGACATGATCAACAAGCGGCGTGGTTCGCTTTCAGCCTGGGCCGTCCTTCTGGAGGAAAGTGAAGGAGTCGGTGAGCATGTTAAGCTGACACTCTGAGCCTCAACATGAGTTTCACATGGAATGAAGGCTTGCAGATGGGAATGCCTCACGCAGCCTGGCATACGTGAGTTAAGCGTGGAGCATCATGGAGCATCCAGGCCACCCTCTGGAGAACACTTAAAAAAACACTTCAATCATTCAAACAAGCCATGAAGTCCCGGAAGCCTGAAACCCTCAACAACCCCCGCACCTCGCTCACGCATTTGACGCACGAATGGAACATTTCTTAACTTTCGAGTGCTAGCTGTCAGCAGCCCTTCTCTTGCACCAGGGCTCTTTTTCAGCCCTTGGGAGGTTCCTGCCGCAGCGTTTGTTACTCCTAGCACAGAGGAGGCAACATCAGCCTTGCCTCTTGCGAAGCCTTCGGTCCCCTCTAAGTGGCAAACAGAAGCAGAAAGGTTTCATGCACCTGCGCAGCATGTCTGCCCGTGAGCCCATGGGGTCTGAAGCTTCGTGCTTGAATGGCTGCAGGGCGCATGCTTATGAGTCAGCGGCTGCTTGTCCTCCCAGCTCCTGCAAGCCGTAGGCTAGCCATCTGCCCACAATCTCCAAAGCCCGACACGCGTCGGAACATCCTGGGACCCTCCTAGACCCTTCAGAGCCGATCGGAAGAGCTGTGAAGGGTTTACCATGGCTTACCGATGCGCTTCTGATGATGACATGTGACGACGTTCATCGCTTCTCTGGCTCCATGCTGCCATGCCTCTAATGTCACTAGTATTCTGCTAGTATTCATTAGTCTGACTGCCCGAGGCTTTGCGCCCGGGATGTCGCTCTCTTTGGATTCTGGATTCTCAAAGCGGTCTCGTGTGTGTCCACCTGCCACCATTCTTGGATTCTTGCCACCTCAGAAGTGGATGATGGACCTTCGCTGTTTGACGCGCTTTCGCGCCGTCCTGTGTCTGTTTGTTTGTTGTTTGCGAACGTTGCTGCGTGTTGGTCGTGCTGAGTCGTGCTTGGTGATGAAGTTCTCTGCTACCTGAGTGAAATCACCCTCCTTGCTCAGGTTAAGGCCCCTTAGCAGAGATCCAGAGTGTATTCAGGATTGGGGCAAGACCGCAGACCTGAGCAACTGCCCTGCAGTTCCAACATCGCCGACGTGACATAGGAGTTTGCTATTTTAGTTCTCAATTGGAACGGGTTCGAGATTGGAATTCTGAGCTCGAGGCCGAGTGCTTCAATTTCTTTTTCTCCAGTTCATGGCCTTGTAGAGGTTCATGGCCTCAGAGGAGGATGTTAATTAGAGGTGAAAAGTTATTGCCGGGTTTCCCAATGGGCAATGGGCAATATCTGCGCAATGGCTGAGACTCAGACCCCCGACGGCTAGAATTTCCCGGGGGGTGAGGTTGCTCAGCAGCAGCGAAGATGAGTTTTTCAAGTGCTTCGTGAGCTTTCATGTGCTTGCTCGGTGTCGATTTTTTACTTTTATGAGCGCCTTTTGTGCACAGCAGAAGAAGTTAGTTTGGATACTCATGGCGCCTAGCAAACACTGGGCTTGGCTTATATTCGCAGTTGGACATGGACACGTGTGCCATATCTTCCCAGTAACTTCATTTTTTGGGAGAGATAGCCGGGTGAATGGTGGATGGGCCGAGCCATGTCCAGTTCGAACTTACAAACACATCGGAAGTGCATGCGACCGGCCAAAAGTGGTGATCTGATAGCGAAGTAGCAGAGGAAGGCGGGGCGGCATGCAGACTGTGCTTGCATGATGACATATGCAGATCGCTTTAGGTCCCATGCAAATAAGGTGATGAAGGCTCCAAACACAGTCGCCGATGCTGTTGTTGGATGTTGTTGCCGTTGATGGCGCCTGGATGTTTGCTTACATCTGCGCTGTTGTGTTTGGAGTGGACATTATGGGCGATCGTGGGCGTGGGTGGTTTGCAGGAGGCGCCTGTGCAACGCAAGCTCGTGCAAAGTCCTTAGTAGGAGAAGCCAAAACTTATGTTCCATTTGCTTGCAGCTAGACACAGTCATGGGCACCTCAAGATGAACTGGCAGCCCAACGCCCCAACTTTAGATGCCAAACCTGTGCCATCCTGTGCCGAAACTCTGAATTCTTTCAGGTCGCGAGCAGTTTTCTTGGACGGGCTTTGCTGAGCCTCCTGGCCGCAAGCTGGTGACCTGCTATGTTCAGAGAGCCCTTGACGAGCCGCCATTTGTAGACTTGAAAAACGAGTGCAGCAAAACACTCTAAACGTCAAATTGCCTAAGGGGAAACATGGGTGGGCAGCAGAGGGTAGAGGGGTCGTTATCACACTGGGATTCGGGATGTTTGTCAAATCGAATCTTCTGTCTCGGAAGCTTAAAGCCCTTTAAAACGGGAAGAGAGCCTGAACCGTAGAGGGATTGAGTTAGAAGCTCTAACGCCCAGAAAGGGGCTCGCGATGACTCAGTGGGAAGCCCTGAGCCTGAAAAAAGGACTAGGACTCCTGAAGCCCTAAACGCAAAATGAAGGGATGGGTTGTGCTCGCGCCCCAGTCCCGAAGGGTAGCGGAAGTTGGAAGCCAGCGGGTTGGAGGAGCCCGAGAGATTGCCACGGTGGGGTTGCGACGTGACCGAACCACGGGAGTCGGGGATGGGCTCCTAGCACCGTCCCGGTAGACCGCGACGTGGATGTTTGAATTCATCACGTCCGAAGGACCATCGAAACTGTAATGCAGGTGCGAATTTGCCAAAAGAGCGAAGTGATCAGAGTGGCACCAGCGGCTTTGATCCATACTTCGCAAGCATGGACTTGCGTCGACATTGTTCTTGGGGTACTGGCGTGCCTCTGCTATGCTCTTCTGTGCCTGCGATACAGACCAGTGTGGGTTCATGCCTTTGTTGTGCACCCTCCCTCGAGCACCTTTTCTGTTCACACTGTTTGCGGATGCTGATGCGAGGCGTGGCTGTTCCGTAGACTGTACTCCTGGTCCAGGTGCTCGGGTGCTCAGGTGCTTGTCCCGCACGGTTGAGCTGGGCGGGTGGCAAAAAAGCCCCCTAGACATTACACATAAACCACAAAATGACCCCTGGACTTCATCCCTAACCCTGCACCCGGCTCAGCCCGGCTCCCAGCCTCCCAGGCCTCGTGCAGGTGGTGCAGCGCATGTTGCCGGCCCCATTTCCTCAGACGATCGTGCCGTCACCAGCGCTGGGCTTAGCTGGCATGTGAGGAAGAGCTTTCCGATGTCGAAGGCTCAGCGTTGAAAATCCAAAAGGCCAATAAGGTGTTGGAAAAAGAGCTTTCGTGCCACACCAAAGGTGTTCCAAACTGATCCAAACTGGACCACGCTCTGAGGACGCGGCAGATGCCTTCCTAAGGAAGCTGGCCGCAGAGCACGTGCAAGACGCATCCGAGGCAGTGCGAGAACGTGGGGTAGTATCTGGGGCAGGCGGGTGAAGTGTAGGTAGAGGGAGTGTAGGTTTTTAAAACCCTAAAAGCATGTGCGCGAACAAGGCTGCGGGGAGTTACGGCCTTACCCTTGGTCGTATGCCTGGAGTTTCTTCGGTCTTGGAAGCTCCCCTGCAGGCCGCAGAGAGTTCTGAGCACGAGGAGTGGGGTGATTCTCCAGAGGTCCTGGAGGCTCGGCTGCCCACACATGGGTCTCCTCAGAACAGTGCAAGCTTGGAAACCGCCTAGGAGGCCTGAACCTTGACCCTCTAGCCGCGAGGTCAATGTGCCGCCGCAGCCAGCCGGAAGCCCTGGGCTCTTGAGGCTATCAGGATTGGGGTATCACCGCAAGTTTTATTGTTACGATGTTGTTTGCGAGTGTCGTTTAGTCTTAGGGAAGCTGTTCTATATCGTGCCATCCTGGTTACAGTAGGGTTCGGAGCCAGCGCATGCCGAAGTTGCTTCCCAACCAGATTCTCTCGGACTTTACTACATATATCTCGGCCGGCTTGTCTGCAGCACGTATCTGGATCGGGACAGAGAGCCACGGGTTTGCAAGCTGAGGGTTCGTAGGGAAAGTTGAGTATTCGAAACGCAGTTTCCTCTGCCGACCCCTAAACCCGAAACAAGAGCTCTTCGAGACCATGAGGCCCATAAGGCACAAGGGGCACAAGCTTTCCGTTTAGAATTCCCACTTTTGCGGTCTTCTCTCTGCCTTGCCGCTGCCGGGGGCCTCCACTGCAGATGGAAGGACCGCCGCAAGTTCAGAGCTTGTGTGTGTGTGTGTGTAAAGCCAAGGAGGCAACGGCTTTCCTGAAATCCCGCTCTGCAGTCCACCGAAATCGCGAAATCACGAAACATGAGCATCCTGCGTTGCCAGATGTTCTTCAAAACGACTTTCTCTCGCGGGATTCGCTTGGGGCCTCACAGCTACACCTTTGTTGGGGCAACAGTATACAAGCAAACCCTCGGCTTGGACCAAAGGTCTCGCCATGTTTCGCCATGTCTCGCCTACTTTTCGTTCGCGTTTCGGGTTGAGACTTTGGAGGTGCAGAGTTTGAGAGGGTCAGATGACTTGAGGCTTGGGGCGGGCCATGTGAAGCCGACAGAATCCACATAATGATAACGCTGATGACATGGTGTGGCTGACAAGCGAGTAGTTGACAAGATGCGAAGCTGTAGCAAGTGTGGCAGGTGCACAGAATTTGCACGCTTTCCCACTGTCATGTGTCTTCATTGTTTGACTTCAAAGTGATGTGACTTTTGCATCGTTTTGTTGGACTCGTCGCTCGTCAGATGTCATCGCTTTACAGAGGCGCCATTGGATGGCTTTCGCTGGCACCTGCCTGCCTTGCAGCCGGAGCTTCATTCCGATATTCCGATGGCCCAAACAAAAACAGGACGCAAAGCCGCGTCCCGATCTTTGTCAAACACTAAGACCATCAGAACGGATGAAAACATGCAAGTTCACTGCGCCGGCCACACGTTCCTATAGATTCACATGTTCTCAATCGCGTTCGTGTCGAGCTTCGGGTGGGGGGTACTTGCGGTTCTCTGGGAATCCAGCCAGGAACCGCGGCGAGGCCCCCGGAGGTGGGTGATGAGCTCCGGGACTTTCTCAACGCACCCTTCCGGTGCCTCGTGTGACGCAACTTAGGGGTGCTTGGGATTTTGGCCCAGGGCTGTCTGGGCTTTGGGTGTGCCGTAGGAGTCTGTTTGAAGGGTTTAGGATGCGGTATGTCATGGTATGTCCTGTAGCCTCTTGCAGAGCTCAAGGCCAAATCAAATCAGATCGCTGGCCTCACCTGGCTTGTCGGAGCTGTGATGTAAAACCACCCAACACCGCAAACAAACAAACAACCCGTGAATCCCACAAAGGCTCAATGTGGAGAGCTACGAAGACTTTGCAAAGCTGCTCCCGAGCCTGGGGCAGGAGGCCAGTAGCCGCGCGAGCGTGGAGGAGTGTCGGGGCGCGAGGGCATTGTGCGTTCTTCCTCGGTTTTGTTAGCCTGCGAAGGAGGAGTTGCGAAGGCTCAACATCGACCCCAAGATCTTCTACAAGAACCAGCGCCCGTTGCGGGCGAGCCAGTTCGTGCCCGAGGTGGTGAGAGGGCATAGGAAGGTAACCCCCGAAGCAAGAAACCATAAGAAAACCCAATTCTGCAGAGCCCAAAGTCTTGCCTTCCCCCCTCAAAAAGCGAGCGCAGTTTTGGTCGCTTGCGGGTTTCTGTTCGTGTTCCTTGTAAATGGTGCCACGGCCTCGGCCCCAGACTCCTCAGGACTTCGGCTTCGAGCCTGAGCCTGATGACCCTGATGGTCCCCTGCCGGCAGTTTTCCAGCCACCAGCACGCAGCTCGGAGGCTCGGAGGCTGAGAGCGGGCTGCGAGTTGGCGCAACCTGAGAATTCAACCCCCGCGCAGTACCAGCAGCGCACAGCCAACTTTTAGCTTTAGATGTTTGCATTGACGTTGCTGGCGTTTGCAGGCCAGTGCCAGCGCACCGGCTGCCGAGATCAATGCCGTGACTCCGGCAACCAGCGCCAGGGAACCCGAGCGCCTCGCCTCCGGTGGCGTTTTGGTGCTTTCGAGCCGACAGTTTCGAGTTTCCGAACTAGGCAAGGCTGTGAATGCAGGCAAAGTGCGAGAGTACAGGGCCCACAAGGCTTCTAGAAACGTGCTGACTCGGCGCAGGGTTTGTTACAGGTTTGTCGTGGATTTCATGGGGGTATGTATGGTTTTTTTTGCGTCAGTGGGCATGGCAAATCGCGCTTTCACCCGCGTGCATTCCTAGTTCGAATTCGGGTTTCTGCCTCAGCCATCCTCAGCACTGCGTGGGCTTTCACGCTTCGACCTCGCCTCTTCGCTTTTGGACGACTTTGCTCCGTGCGCCGGTTCTGCCCTTGGGGTGTGTTATGAAGCTACGGTGTGTTCGCGTATGCTCGATGAAGTGCTGTTGCTGTTGGGCCTTCCCTTGCGCACGCGGCGGAAGCTTTTTTGTGAGCCACTGCGCTCCTGGCCAAACTGGGCGTTTGAGGCCCTCAAAAGAAGTTCCTGTTTTCGGACCTGCAGAGCCTAAGGGCCTAAGCAACTCTTGAGAGCTGAGCCCCGCAGGGTGTGGCATGTGTGGCACTCTGGCCACAAGTTAGGTACGACGAGATTGCGCTGGAGACGCAAGCCGAGACCTGTGGGGGCCGTCTAGGCCACGAGACACCGGAGGGCGTCTCGGCTTTGTTTAGGCTCAACTTTAATTTAGTGTTCAGCCTGGTTTCGTCTTCTTTTTCATCTAAACCTAAACATTGTGAGCCCAGCCAGTAGAAGAACCTCTTGGACCCCTGGTCTCAGAGCCTGAGCAAAACAACCATTGAGTCGAAACACAAATCCCTGAACCGGTGCAGGACTTGGGTCGAAGCTGCAAATCGACAGCTTGACGGAGGAGCGGAAGTGCAACACCAGCTCTGGTTTGGGGTTTGGGGTTTGGGGTGTCGGGTTTCTTGTGGATGCCTGGCAAGAAAGGATGGCTCTGGCTCGGCAACGCCTGTAATTTCCACCGGAGCTTGAATATCCCTGAATCCCATGTGCTAAATCACTCAGCTATCTTGTGGAGGCATGTTCGGCGAACATCCACCGGATGAGACACCTGTAAGAGTCATTGCAGTAGTGCTCTTGCTTTCGTCTCGGCGTTGGTCGTTGTAGTTTGCCGGCACATGAGAGAGAGAGAGAGAGAGAGAGAGCCCGGCCCCACGCCCCCAAGAAAGAAGGAAAGAAAGAGCCCGACTTGAAGAAGGGCCTTCGTTTTTTGATTTGTGCGCTTTCGGTGATCATGGAGCCAGGGAGCAGGGAATTTCATAAAGATCCGGGCTTTCAGACGAGTTGAAAGTCTGTGCGACACACCTCGCCTGGCAGCACTGGGGGTCGCCCAAGGGGGAGCGAGCCATGAAACCGACTGTTGAAGAGGACTGCCGCAAACATGGGGAGAAGCAGTTCCCAAGACACACTCAAGAAGAGATCCAGGCCGAGCAGGGAATCAAGCAAGAACCGGCAGAAACGCTAGCAAAGAAGAAGCGTCGTCAACGTTGGGGTGGACAACCCGCGCATCAAGAACGAGGAGAAGCAGTACTGCGACCAGGAGGAGGAGGGGAAGAAGAGCAAACAAAAACTTCCACGGTGACCAAACACACCGAAGATGGACAATGAGGAGGAGAAGCAAATGACATAACCGCACGGCGTCGCGGAGAGGCAAGGCTGGGAGAAAATAAAGATTGGGAAGAAACAGGAGCACAGCAAGGACCCCACGACAAAAGCCAAACTTATATGGAGGAGGGACAACTAGCAGCACGTGCAACAGAGCTTCCCGACATCGAACGCGCCATGCGCGACATCCTACATCCCCAGGCTCATCAGGCCAAACTACAACCGGCATTGCTGAGGAGAAGAAGGCAGATATACCTGACACCGACAGCCACCCCGAGACACGCGGGTGGATGCAGTGCAAGCATCGTGGGGAGGAAGCTCAAGCAACGGGGTCCTACGGGGGCCAAGAGCAATTGCTGCAACGACTCGGCAGTGGTCCTTGGCAGATCAGGCAACGGGGCCCTCCCCCAGCCATAGGAGGGCCGGGTGCGCCCTCCGCACGGGGAGGGGGAACTCCCTCTCCCCATGCCCAGAAGAAGAGAGGCTTGAGGTTTAGGGATTTTCAGGATTCCGGTTGAAAGCAAGCCTTTGAAAGAAGGCGCTCGCAAGCAAAGCCCCGAAGCGAGGATGGCGACGAGCCGGACTTCCGGAAGGAGCTGCTGAAGGATCGAGACGACAGAGACGGCATTAGCTTGATGGTTGTGGGGTTATGCAATAGCGGGGCTTCGGGGAAGGAGCGTTGCCTCGGAGCTGTTGTCAGCAGTTTTTTTAACACAATGATCTAGAAGGCTTGTAGTGCAGTGATGCCCCGAGCCCGCACAAAAGACCATTGGGCCGCTGGGCCACGAATGATTCCTTCCCTGCCCCCTCCGGCTAGTGGAAGAATGTTGGGGGCTTCGGTGTGTGCACATGAGCGGAATGCACGTGCACTTTGTGGGCGGGGCTGACGTGATATTCTTCCAGTCCCGACACTTGCCAGGAAGGGGAGGAGGAGGATGCAGTTGAGGCCTTCTCTCTGGACCCGGACTCTTGGCTGCCAAAGAGTGGCGCTTGGCCACTACCCACAGCTTGCAAAACGACCATGAACAGTGTGACTCTGTTCACGGTTCGTCGTGAGACAGTGGGGCCCCACTCTAGAATGCCACCGAGGCCAATTTCAGCTTTTCGTGGAACCTCGCTATGTAGCTATAAGGGGATCTACTGAACTAGAACCACCCCTAAAGGCATACACCTCAACTCGCATTATTGCCACTGCATTCCCAGCACTCGTATCCGACCTGTGCACCCTGCGACTAGATTGCCTCCTCAAGGACTTTGACTACGACAACCCGCCGGAGGGCATGTCCAGCAAAATTGACCCGCGGGATCTCCGCGAGGCGGTTTATAGGGTTTAGAGTGGGGGTTGAGAGAATCTGCGCAACGAGGTTCTGGTTCTTGAGCAGTTTGAGACCAGGTGATGAGGGTGAGCCCTCCGCCGCCACGGGAAAGCAATGTCGAAGAGGATGTCGCAGAAGACGCTGTCCACGAGCCATGAATTCGAAAAGGGGAGACCTAAACGAACCAAACAGCCCAATGGCCCCAACGAACTCTCAATCCTGAATGCCGTGCACACAGCTCAAGGGGTTCTCCCTGGAGCTGCATTGCGCATGGGCTGAGTTCTAGGTGCAGAAGCTTATCTCCTAATAGCTGTTGAGGCCGGGGATCGTGCTATCGAGACTAGAATCTCTAGCCTCTCCTGGAACTTTCGGGAACCGGGCGCCTTTCGCTGAATCGCACGCTGCGTTCTCATCGGAGCTAGGACTTCTTGTTTGTGTTTACCGAATGGGCAGCCTGCCCAGTCACATGTTAGTCCTCAGCTTGCATCTCCAAAACGTTAAATCAAAGACCCAAAGAACAAGAGTTGAACATTGAGGACCAGATTCAGAGGGTGTATATAGATTGACGTCCCATGGGGCTTGCAGTGCAACGCTGGCGAGCCGGCAGCATGCACCGTCGGACGGGAAGCAGCCCGAGGCGCGATTCGTGTGGCCTCAAGAGGGAGGTTACTTTGAGTTCCGTGTCAGCTGGCAGTAGTGCCGTGAATCCTTCGGCGGCAGGAAGTGTTTTGGAGCTCTGGCTGCTGACCATGAGGGCTGGCGAAGGCCTGAAAAATGCTTGGGGTGCTTCCACAGGGCAGCCTGTGACATGCCCTCGACCGCGATCACAACCCTGGTTTTCTGAGAGTCTTTCTGCGTTTTTTGGCCCAGCCAAGCAAGGGCACCCAGGCCAACATCCAGAAACGATCTTCCAAGCATTCCAGACCTGAACATCTACAAGAGTATTCAGAGCCCAGAAGAGGAGGCAACATCTCATGAGACCCCCTATGCACTTAGGCCTGGACTTCTGGTCATGCAGCGATGCCTCGGTCGTGTGGCATCGGCTGCGCGAGACCGTGAGCCGCGGGCCCAAGGGGCCGGGTGTATATATATATATATGTATGTATGTATGTATGTATATATATATATGCAAAATCGCTACTGCAACTCTTCACAAAGTGGCCTTTTGTGTCTTGTACAGGATACGTCACCTGGGACCCCACATCGCCCTTGCGCACCTCCATGGACAAACTTGCCCAGCTGGTGCCTCTCTGGCTCGAAGGCGGACGGGGAGGGCAGTTTGGGGCTGCGGGCTTGATGTGGCATTCTGGCAACAGTCTTGGGGCTCGGTTTAATCGTGGGGAGCGGGGAGGTCAGCGAATGCGCCATTCCAGGACGCCCGGTCGAGGGGGGCCCTTGCGCTGCAGGCGAAGCCTTCTTCACGCCGCCTGGCTTTGGCAATTGCCAAAAGCTGCAACCCCGAAGTTTTGCAACTGTCACATTGCTGCTGCGACCCTGCAGCCGGAGAATCCTTCTCTTTATCATTGGCCTGTTCCGAACCGCAGGCTTCTGGACTTCCTCATGTCTTCGGTCCAGCAGATCCGCGACGATGCCAGCTTCTCCATGGACCGCTTGGTGGACGCCCTGATCCTACTGCGCCTGAGGACCCTCCAAACAACAACAGCCCTGAAGCTTCAGATAACACATAACAGTTGTTCAACAACAGCAACCGATTCGGGGAAGGCTGAGACCCTGGGGCCCCGCGCTTGAGCAAGCCAAGCATGGTCTAGTCACTTAGCCACGCTGCACTCCCACGGAACACTCCCACGGAAGAGGCAGCGAACCATTCATACTTGGCGCGATCCATGCCTGCGTCCGTTAGGAGCTCCGACACCTGCAGATGCATTTAGGATGTTTTGGGGATGCCTGATACTCATCACGGTGTCAGGATGCCGTCCATTTCAGCCGCCATGTTTTCAACCTGGCCCATCTTTGGAGTTTTGGCTCTGGTGCAGCAGACGCTGCCTCAGATACAATATCAGAGCTCAGCTGAGGGGCTTGGAGTTTGGCTGTGTGCCGGGCAGAAATTCTTCAGGAACAGATGTGGCACGACGTACTCTTGAAACTCTTGCCCTGCAGCAAGTCTTCAACCCTGAGACTGTGTAAGTCTATCCATAGAGTAGGCCCCTAGACAGGCCCAAAATCTGAGGAAGCTGCTGCGTCTGGGGGGTGGCGGTGTCCCTGCCCACAGTGGCTTGGAGCAGCGGGATGAGGCCAGGACGCGCTTAGCCACCTAGCAACGCTCATGCGATCCGATTTGACTTGTCCACTGCTGCTCCTTGTTAGATATGAACTGCTGCTGTCGTGTAATCAGATGAGGCTGTATACTGGTCAGGCTTGGAAGACTGGTAACTTTATTGGAAACGCGCGGCGGATCTAACAACGAGAAACCTTGGCCATTCCTGGGTTCAAGAAGGATTTCTGTCCGGACGCGACTGGACGGGGAGAGCCCAAACACAGGTCGCTGCCGTGAAAAGGGTGCACAGCAAAGGAAGCAGCATGAGCCGCCATGCGTCCGTGCCAAAAAGAGCCCCCTGCTCAAGGCTATGCCCTTTGGGGAGACGATGGGTGCTTTCTCGAGCCGCCCGGATGCAGAGTTCTTTTCTTGTCTAAACTGCCAGTCGCAAGCCCAATGCCCCCCAGCCCTTCAAGCTTTCGTGGCCAGGCGTCTGCGAAGCGGGACAGGAGCAGCTTTGGGATGCTTTAAGCCTTAAGCCGAAGCCTCCCATAATCTGCAAGAAGCATAGGAGTGAAGATGCTCGAACTGCAGGAGCTGCGAGGCATCCTGAGTGACTGGCTGGAGGTGGGCAGGTCAGAAGCAAAGGCCTTGCTCGATGTCAGGTGGTGTAAATGCCTTTCTCCTGAAAATGCAGGTGCCATGGTGGAGGTGTTGCCCTTGTGTTTTTGACATAATGGATCCCCCCGCCTCCCCTTCATGGAGGGCGTTGCGGCGTTGCAGGTACAACCTTGCTTGTGATGTTCTTCCTGCGCCCTGCAGACACTACCGCCGCCCCACAAGTCCATACCTACGCTGCCGGGAACCGCTCGCCTCAAACTCAGTAGGATTGCTGTGGCTAGTCGGGTGCCAAAAAAGACTCAGTAGGAGTGCGGCTTGCCAAGCTTCACCGGTTTACGAGGGTTCGGGCTGCGGCTAGCTCATCGGGCAGGGGTTTATGTCACTGGGCACGTTGAAAGTTGGACGAAGCGCTCTAGCGATCCAGCGGGTTGAAATGCACTTGCTGGTCTCCACATCTTGCTACTAGAAGAAACCAGGCTCGAATGGGGGTTGCTAAAAATGTTGGAGCCTCAATTAACAGCTGGGCGTGGGACCCGAACTTCGCTACAAAATCCTTGCTTGGAGATTCGCAGCATCTGGATCCACAGAACGTCTCCAGGCCGGAGCGCCTGGCGCCTTACCCGCAATGCGGCTGGCTGCAGCGGCCTGGAACGCCCCCAGGGTTGGAGGTTTGGGACGTTTGGGGCATTTACGGGACTTCGGGCCGGGCGTTACGCTGTACCTTGCCTTGCTTGGGCCAGCCTGCATCGCCTTCACGCATGCAAGTGCTCGGGGGATGCGAATGCTGAGTAGTTGGTGTGCCGAGTCTTGGTGATGAACGCTGATCATGTCCTGCCTTAAGTCCCCCCTAATGAGACCACGTGGTCAAGTCGCCAGAGGCTTAAAATGAAGTGGCACTAGTTGCATTGCAGGAGCGGGCTGCTGCCCGTCTCGTCGCAGGCGGTCTGGTCCCGGCGGCCCCATGGTGCCCCCGGGGCATTTCGGCGGGGCATTTCCGGGGTCCTTCGACGCCCGGGGGCAATCTTGGCGGCAAGCGGTCCATAGCGGGTGCCTTCTATGTTGTTGGAGGCAGGGGTTGAGGATCTCCAATTCAACAAGTTACATTAGCTCTTTAAGAGGTACGTCTCCCTGGAGGATCAGAACGTCTCTGCATGGAGGTTCGACTTGCTTCGTGACTCGCTTGCAGCCCTGCGGGCCATCTCGGATTCGGTGACGTTGCAGCAGGTCCTAGCGTTGTTAGGGTTCCGCTGTGTGACGTGGTTGTGTGTCATGGACTTCCTTTTCCGCACTTGCTTGTCTGCTCCCTGTAGGAACACGGCTGCCCTGCCCGAAAGCCCTACATGACACACTTCTGAAGCGATAGTATCCGTTCTGCGTGGAGCTATGGGCTGCCGTCGCCAAACGCGCATAGCTTGCCAAAGGGACATCCGTGTCTTGGTAACCATCTTGCGGAAAGGGCAAAGTCTTTGGATGCCAGAGCTCACCTGCCCGGGACCTTTAAACTTTATACCTCCGAAGCCCAAGGCCAACCTGTAAGGCATCGATCCGAAACCTTCGCCTTTCAATTCTTTGGTTCCTCAGGGCTTGAGAGGCTGCTGGACTGGAGCCTGACGACAGCGACCTGGAATCAGCTCCTCTTCGCAGGTCGCATGCTCAGATGTAGCACCGCATTGCAAGCTCAGATTACGGACCTCTCCTAAACAATTAGGAGCATGAAATCTCCAAGCGCAAGTAGTAAAGCTCAGCAGGAGTGGTAGTAGTGGGGTTTGACCTGGGGCCTCACTGGCGGGAAGTAGGAAGGGGGGAAAGGAAGTGAAGGAAGAAGGAAGGGAAGGAAGGGAGGGAAGAAGGAGGGAAGGGAGGTTGGTGTTGACGTGCAGCCAACGTCTGCGGATCTGACTGCTGACCCGTAGTTCGCAAGAGAGGCGTGCTCAGAACCAAGAAGGCCCAAACCCACAGGCTTCAACTCGCTGCAAGATGAAACGAGGTTGGCCCTTGCCTGCAATCCTGCATCGCCTTCAAGACGACCCTGGGCTGTGGTTAAATGGTTTGATCATGTTTGACCCTAACCTTAAATATCTGCTCGAGCGTTCCCGAAATTTGCAAAGCCCACCCCAACAGAATCCCAAATCGGACTTACATACGCACTTACGCGCTTACACACTTCCACAATTACAGACTTGCACGCTTACACACTTATACACTTACACTTGCTGACCCCCGAAATGTTTAATTGGTGACATCAACTGCGTAAAAAATGTCTCCCTCACACACTCTGCATGCACCAGCACAAGTGCATGACAAGCGCTGGATTGCAGCACGACTGTCATGCACATGACGTGTACATTGCCAGCCATGGACCTTGTCATCCAGGTGCACCGACGCAGGTACAGGTTTGTGCATCCACAAGCCCATCGCGAAAATCAAGGACGGCCTGTGCAAAAAAGATCCTTTGCGAACAGGCCCACACACAGACCCACCCAAGCACGCGCGCACGCACGCGCGCGAACAAGCCAATGGCAAAGCGCGTACAGAGCGGTGGAGTCACCTGAGATCGGAGGCCTACCTGCGGGAGGCAGTCTGCAGCGCCGCCGCTGAGGGCGGCTACGCGCTGAGGAGCCGGAGCATGGGGGCGCGCGGCGCCACGAAGCTGCAAAAGATGTCGGAAGGCATGGAGCGAAAGCAGGCGCAAGCGTTCTTAGCCGCAGGGGTTCATCAAGTGGGCTTCCTGGATCAGGATTCAGTGTGCAGGGGTTGTCTTTGCATTCACAGGTCAATTTCACCCGGTTGGGAGATTGCTGTAATCCGCGGCTCTGAGATGTGAGGTCTGGATCTGCATTGGGCGGGACGAAGATTTGGCAGCAGAAAGGCAGTACACGATCTTTTGAAGACGGGGCGCTGCAACTCATCCTCGTTCGTCGGTGTTGTTCATGCTGCAAGGTTCCATTGTCGTTGAGCTGTGTCGCCTGTCAGTCCAGGTAGACTGCCCTTGCAGAGTGGACCGTCCTACTCACTTGGCTTTTCCGAGTTGCGAGAGAGAGCCCTAGCCCAGATAGATGCGTAGACACCGAGAGGTGGCGAATGCACGGTGAGTTCCCCGACTGCACGGCCATCGCAGGGCTTCTGCGTGGCGAGGCCAATGGTGGCTGCCTTTTTGCCGATGTTGGTGGCTCGATCTTGCTTCGGGGTTTGGTGCCTTAAGCCCGGGTTAATGGATGTTAGCGGTTTCGGGGTGAGGGGATGCTGGGAAATCTGGGTTTCGGATTCCGTGTCCTGCACAGAGTTCAATTGATTCATGTTGATTCTTACGAACGTGGGCTAGCGGTCTAGGCCGAGCAGGAGCGGGGAGAGCTTGGTTTTAGTAGTCGAGTAGAGCAGCCTCTGTCAGGGTTTTGCAGTGCAGCCCTTTGTAGGTATTGCAGCAGCCACTAGGGTTCATGCAGCTCCCCTGATCCGATGTATGGAACCTCAAAAATAGATCAGGCCGAAGGGAAGCTAGACGTCGCAGAAACCCTGAGCTCCCTACCCGGCAGAGGGGCATGTACACCTACCAAAAAAGTAAGGCGCGAACCTCGGTTCATGCTCTTTGCAGATGGCTCAGGAGGCACCGTGTCTGCTGCGAGTTTTGAGGAGCTTGAATAGTGATGCTAGGGCAGCCAGTTGGGCAGCTAGGAGAGGTGTCCCTGTCGCTGGAAATCCTGGAACCTCATTGTGGCCTTGCAGGGCTTCGAGGTGCTGGCTGTGGAGCCTGTGCCGTTGACGGCGGCGCTGCTGATGGCTTCGGTGCCCCAGCGTGTGTTGGGATGTGTGGGAGGTCGTCCTGCATGAGGTTTTATTTGGCTGGTAAGTGGGTTCCATCGTAATCTCCTCGTGTGGTGAAAGTGCTCCAGATCAGGGCCCGTGTTTCTTATGCTGAAGCGGAGCGCAAAAACTTCCGCATCAAGTCCCAAGCCCTGAGCCCTTGCATACGTGTTGCGCAATGTCCTTCTTGTGAGTTGCCACGCCTGCCTTCAGCGGTGCCAAGCTTGGTCGGATGCTGCGATGGTCTTGAAGGATGTCTGGGAAATTTGTTGTCTGCTGCGGCTGGATTTCGTTTTGGGGGTCGCCGGGTGGGACGACGGCAGGTGCTCCGCAACCACTTGGAATCTCGCATTCAGGTGGTGCAGGCTGCCGAGCGCGAACTCCTTGTAGGTCAGCCGTGCGCACTGCAGCTCGCACAAGATGCCGCAACGCAGAAGTGCTGCCAGTTTTGCTTACCCTAAGTAAACAGACAAACTCAAAAAAACGCCCATGCACGCCCCCTCCAGAGCTCTCGCCTTCGCCACATGAAGCCGCAGGCTGCGGCTGGGCGGGGCGGCTCGGGCAGCCTCCGGCACCTTTGGCCTTTCGGAAGTTTCGGAAGTTTCGGAAGTTTCGGAAGTTTCGGAAGCTGTGGCCAACATTAAGTACTCGCAGGAAAAAGATTGCATTGGAGCCTTGGAGCTTTGGGAGTCTCTGTCTCAGGATCAGGCTTAGGGTTTGTGGGGCCTGATTGGATGCCCGCGAAGCGGGCGCAATCTTGCAGGGAGGGCAGGTGCAGGTTGTCTTGTTTAGGGCCAGTCCCTTGACCCAACTTCAACTGATGACGGTAACCCTTCATCCTCACATGCAACCAGAAGGTTCAGCTAGGTAGGGGGTGGCAAAAAGAACCCTGACACCTGTAGCAGAGGTGCCCAGAGAAGCACTCGGCCGCCTGCGAGGCATGGGCTTGGGTATTCAGTGAAAGGTCCTTCCGGATGTCCAGAGCTTTGAGGTACCAGGGTCTTGGAGGGTTTAGGGTTGAGGGCATATTCCTCATGTCTTTGAGGTAGCGTAAAGGAGACCGCTAGACAAGCCCGTCTGCTTGTGCCGCAATCCAACTCTGAATCTCTTCGACAGGTGGTGAGTGCTGATCCACGCGATGCGCTTCTGACGACGGTCATTCAGCTTCAAATTGTTCATAAGCTATGGAGACAAAGCCCCCGAACATGTGGCAAAGACAAGACATGAACGGTACAATCAATGATTAGAGGCGCAGCGAATCGTCATTATTCCACAAGCTACGCTTTCCATGTAATCTAGTTCGCGAAGCAAGAAATGAAGCAAGCCAAGAAAGCTCAACAATCATGTTCCTTGCTCCTGGTAATCCTTACTAAAAACATGATGCAATTGCTCACATGTCACTCCCGGCTACTGTTTCAATATGTTTCATGTGCTCGTCTTCCATTTCGCTTCCCGGCGCAGCTGTCAGCAATGCATTCTTGCCCCAAGGCGTTGGTTGTGTCCTAAGGTTCTCGGGTAGGATGTTGTTTGTCCATGCGGTTGGCCGAGGTTTCGCTGGACAGCCTTGTGCAGCAGAGCCCGCGCAAACCTTTGTGCGCCGTGAAGATTGATGTTGAGGGCTCCGAGGACGGGTGCTGAAGCGAATGCCTGACACGCAGAGCAGAAATCATGCTTCCTGGAACATGATGTGAGTGACAGCCGTGTTGCTTGACGCGCATTCGGTCGGTCGCTGCTGGCATCGTGCTGCTTCGAGCCCCTAAGACTAAGAAGCCCCTTCTACGAACAGGGTTCGAAGCCTTCTAAGCTACCCTTGCAGCCTTCCAAACGCCATGTTTTTTCCCTTAAGAAGGAGGAGGTGCTTGCTGGTGCTGGACACAGCCTACGCCATCGCCCAAGGCGCGAACTCGACTCCACCAACAAACTGAACTCAACTCCCTTGCGTCGAATCGCCGAAGGGCTCGAGAAACACCGAACTGGTGCATTGCTTTGCGAAGAGGAGGTGACTTAAGTCTTAGGTGTCTTCCGCTGGGTTCCCGAGACATCTTGAGAGCCTTGCGAGGCTTTTCTTAGAGATCCATGCGCTGCTGCTGCGCAAGCGGGGGACATCTTCTGGCCGCGTTTTCGACAGGCAGGATGATGGGCGCCAGAGCAGCGAGTGAGAGTCGCAGCTGCAGGTGAAGGAGTGCGAATCGTGCGATCCCGCGGTCAATGCATGAGCCTGGCAGGCTCTTGATCGAGTTTGGGTACCGAAATGCCTGGAGCTCGAGTATGTGCAAGTCGAGGATGCTACCAGGACCCGTGGATTGGAGTCGCTGAGAGTCTTGCAGTTGAGCAAAGTAAAGGGCATGACCGTTCTTGATGGGCTCGGCCCAAGTCTCGAATCTAAGCGGCCGAGGTCCAGCTGCTGAGTGAGCACGGTCGCAGCTGTTTATCGGCATCGGTGAGGAGCTCGCCAGGCCCTTAAAATTCAATTCAGACAACCCTCAGCCGCATCTATGTGAATGATGCGCTGCGCTCTCTCTCTCTCTCTGTCTCTCTCTCTCTCTCTGTCTGTCCCTCTCTGTGTGTCGCTCTCTGTCTGTGTCTCTCTCTGTCTGTGTCTCCCTGTCTGCGTCTGTGTCTGTGTCTGTGTCTGGGTCTGGGTCTGGGTCTGGGTCTGGGTCTGGGTCTGGGTCTGGGTCTGTGTGTGGGCCCGTCTGTGTGGCACAGGCAGTGGCAGAACCTCGAAGCCCTTAAGGAGTGAACCTGAAAGCCTCCCAAAGCCCAAAACATCCCAAATCCCGCCGAAATCCCCCCAAAATCCCCCCAAAATCCCCCCCAAAAATCCTCCCAATATCTCCCCCCCCAAAATCCCCCACGGAAGGTTGGAAGGAGCCTGGCCTCAGGGTGGGGGCATCTACGCGGAGCACTGGTGGCAGGGAGCCTCTGCTCTACCGGCCGGGCTCTTCCTAGCCCCTCTGGCAGATGTGAGGGGGGCCTTAGGGTTTAGGGTTTAGGGAGTGTAGGGTTTAGGGAGTTTGGAGTTTAGGGTCTCGGGTTTAGGGTTTAGGGTTGAGGGTTTAGGCGACAGATCCTTGCAGACCCTTTCAATTGAAGTCGGCTTTTGAGGGTTTGGGGTCCACAGGGCTTGGCAAATCTCTTCAAATCTCGGCAACTTGAGGTTTGGGATCGAAGGGTTTGTGTCTTGATCAAGCCGCCAGAGATGCGCGCGCAACAGCGATGCGACTGTTGTCGTAGGAACCTGGCTTTTGCAGGGGTCGCCCCCGCTTGGTTGATGCGACACTCCCCACAAATTCAGGAATCTCATCGTTAGCTTCAGAGACCAGAATCGAAGAACCACCCGCACCAACAGAAATCAGGAGACTAGCCGTCCAGTGCATTGAGCAGGTACAGGAACGACTCAAATCAGGTCTTGGCGGTTGCAGCGGTCCAATCGCGCACCCCCTCCCCTTCATTCTTTAAGCCCTGAGCCCAGGAGCGGAATGCCTGTAGATGTGCGCGTGCCTGTTTCCTCCAACTCCGTCCAGGCCTTGAAGGGTCGGAAATATTTGGGGCGTCGATTCGACGGAGTTGTGGCACTTGATGCCGAATCCCTGAAAGTCAAAGACCGGCCTCAACTCGAAGCCTTGGAGCCTCTGACCCGGAAGCCCTCACATCCTAAGAACACCCTAAGCCCCCTTTGCAGTTTCAAGCGCAAACCCTCAATACCTCGAATTGTCCTGCAGTGTCGGTGTGGCGAAGCTCAGCCTGGTGTGGGGCACAGAAATCCTTGGCCCTTGGCATCTGGCTTGTACGATAGGGTCTTTGTATGGAAGGCTTTTCAGAAGCACAAATAAACACACATCACAACAACAGAAGAAAGCACACAAACAAATCGCTCAAGAACCGAGAAGGGTAGTGAAGGGTAGTTTGACCCGGGGACGGAGGTCAACCCGGCTGCCGGTGCTGGGACTTCGTCGTCGCCACCGGTCGCTGCCAGATGTACAGAAGCTGCGGGGCTCTGAACGGCACAGCGCTGGCCCACAGGGTCGGCTCCTGGGCAGGGGAACTAAGTGGAAACTTCGTCTTCAGCTGAGCTCCAGATGTGGGGCTTTGGAGAGGTCGACGCAGTGCTTCTGGCCTGCCGTGCCGAGATTCGAGATTCGTTTCTGCGCCTTCGCTTTCCAGCCTACGAGTGCTCATGTCGTCATCGATCCTTCAGCACGTTGGAGCGTGGACCGAGAATCTTCGGCATGCCCAAGTCGTAAAGTCGTAAAGGTTTGGTGTGGAGTCAGATTTGGACAACGGTCCAGAACGGTCGTGGGGGGCCACCTCGCCCCTTTACGACAGTGAAGCTGGAGGTTCACGGGCTCTTCTCAAAATATACCTGCCCCGATGTAGCCAAGCCGTGCGTGCAATGCGCATGGGCATGAAGCCCCAAACTCCAAGCAGGCTTCAGGCTTCATGATATGAGGCTTTTGCGGCGTGCCCGCAGTCTGGTGAAAAGCCACGTCGTCTGGCCATGTTGCTGAGGACTCTTCGGTGGTCTCTGGTATGTGGGGATGGAGGGTCTAGGGCCTTTGCGTTTATGTAGGACTTTGCAGATCTGGAACTTTGCAGGCAGTTCAGGCTTCGGTAGCATTTGGGGGGGTATTGGTTGGAGTGGCTGTGCTGGTACGCTCGTAGCTGTTCTACCTCAACGTCGGGCCACATGCCACCATATTCGCACCAGAAGCATTTTTGTTGCTTTTTGGGGCCAGCCTCGGACGTAGCGGTAGGGGGAGAGTCGTGGCCGTGGCATGATTGACTGTTAAGAAGACCAGTGGCTTGTGAATCGGTGCAGCTACAGCTCAGTACATGCAAGCCACACGTGTTGCTTTACTGTGGCCGATGCCGGCAGCATGGAAGTTCCAGCGGTGGAACTCCAGTCGCTGGGTGAGGGCTATGCCCCCTTGGCACGGTGCTCAGTGGAGAGGTTTCAGGGGCTAAGAGGAACAGGCTCATGCCGGAAAAGCATGGAAAAGCACTTCATTGTCACGTTTTGTCAAAGATCTTCTGAAGCGCGCCTTCGCGTGAGGTTCCCACGGCTGAAGCGCGAGGCTTCACTCGCGAGGGAGCTTCGTCAAAGCTTAGGAGCTGTCGTTTTGAGGTTATTTGGGTGTGCTAAGGGCTGTTTAGGATTTGGGGCTGGATTGCGGTGGCATCTGAAGGTTTGTGGGGTTTGCTGACAGCACACCGGTGCATAAGCAGCACACGCGCTACTTTTGTTCGGACGAAGTCGTGGCCGTAGTGCTTCAAGAGCCAAGCGCGCGTGAAAGGCGAGAGCCCCAGCTCGATCTGGACACGGCTCTGGATGGTCGGCGCCCGGTGTATCGTCTTCGACCTCACATACCAACATGTGGTCTCGGCGGCATATGGAGTTGAAAGGCCTGAGGGCCCGTGTCGACAAGTGCCTCACACCATCTCGTTCTTTATGTTGCTTTTGCGAAGCATGCAAGAAAAGGGTTCGAGCGTGTTGGTGGTGCTAGGGCATGTCTTCGATGGAAGATGTGTGTCTTGAGGTATGGTCCAAATTCCTGGCCTTCTTGCACCTCTGCTGAACTGAAGGGCTGTGGAGAACTGCAGAGGTTCGGGGCTCACAGAAAGTTGTGGTCGGAAGCGTGTGGGAATGTGGAGATGATGGATGGGATTGTTTCGTCAACCATGGATTCAGACATGATGGCTGTAGAGTGCGCGACCACTGTAGTCCACAAACAACATGTTGGCTGCTGTTTTGCAGCGAGGTGTTTCCTGAATGCCACTCTGCTGCTGGGTGAGGAGAGCTTCTACTCCATACTGTGCTCCGAGCTGCATGGTAAAGAGAGTGGCCCGGTAACCCCGCACGCCCGTTGCCCCTAAAAAAAGTTAGTTTACATAGCCCGTGACGCACCGTGATTAGCGAACCCGTGACTATCGCGTGCTCGCTAATTACGGCTGTATCGTGGGCTATATAGTGGAATATTTAAAACAGAGGTACCCAAACAGAGGGGTCACTGCAAAACTCTCATTACATGGGGTTGTCTGAAGCCTCCCAAATCTTTTGAAGATTCGCTCCTTCGAACGGTCCGAGTCCTTTCGGATGTTTGTGTTTTTGGTTCGTTTGGTGTCACGAAGATAAGGTCCCAGCTGCCTTCTTCTTCAAGCTGCATCCGAAATCATCACGTCGGGTTTTGCAACAAGACTGGCGACCAAGTGTTTCGGGATTCACGGATACAGGCCAGGCCTCCATTTCGCGTCTTGCATGTGACAGCTGGCATGTGGTGGTAGAACTCATTTCCTTGAACCTGAAGATGTTGTGCCGTCTGTTGCTATTGCTGGGCATCACGAAGCGAGTATCTGGGCATGATGGCCGGTGCTTTGATTGAAACGGGTATTGCTTGACGCACCTGCGGTAGGAATTACAGAGGGACGAACGATCTCCGAGATTCCATGCGGATGACTTTCTGCCGGATGGGCTCAAGTAGTTCCTTGAATGGACATCCTTCGGAGTCCGGCAGTAGCAAAGGAACAGCCCATGGTCGGTCGAGCGCGCTGCCATGCTACAAAAAGCATTGCGTGATGAAGAGCCAGTGCTCCTGCACAGCCCATCGGATGATGGATTGTTCGATGATCTGCACTATGTAGCCAAGGCGGTGCCAGGAATCGTGTCCAAGTCTATTGCCTACCGCGGCAAGGACGATAGGGCTGAAGTAGCACGCATCTTGGGGCACTTGCCAATGGTCAAGGAGGCTCGCGCCCGGCGCCTTCAGGTCTTCCCACCACGCTGCGGAACTCCCCAGAGTGCGCGAGAGCGCCCGCAGAGCCGAGCCGAAGAGAGGCTGACGCCCCGAGCCGCGGCATACATGAGGCCGCCTTCTGCTGGCAACCCGGCAAGGGCTGTGAAGACCCCTACACCGCGCCTGGCACAGACGCACCGCACTCCGCGAGCATCCACACCAAAGGCGCCAAGGAGGGCATGGGATGGGCTGTGCGAGGAGCGCATGGAGCGCCCACAGAGATGCGCAACACCGTCCACACCTACAGCAGGACCACCAGGACAGGCCACCTCTGTGGCTTCAGCTCAGGGCTCAGTGCCATTGGTGCCTGCAGTAGCAGCGGAGCTGGACGGGAAGATCGAGGCGAAAGCCGAGGTCCGCGCCGGCTCCGCCGGGACGGCCGCCACAGGGCCAGCCACGGCAGCCGCGGCTTGCCCACCGGAGGCCAACTCTGGTGGCCCGGGGCAAGCGGTTGCGGGCCCTGTTCCCGAGGCGTGGTACCAGCAGGCGATCCAGTCTGGAGTCCAGAGTGCCGTTGGCGGTTCGCGGCTTGGGTTCTCCGTGCTGCCCCTTGACGATGAGGTGCCAGTGGTGAATGAGAAGGATGTGGAGCAGGTTCAGAAACGATACCTTCACAAGCTAGCGGAAGTGGGTGTCGACCCCAAAGGGAAAAAGGCGGGCGAGATCCTGCAGACGCTGTATGCCCGAGGCAGTCGTACGGAGTCCCAGCGGATGAATGCGGAGGCGCAAAAGAAGGTGTTGGTGCGCTTGCGGACACCGCTGTGCATTAAGACAGTGCTTAAGGAACGTGCGCTGCAAGAGGTGAAGGCAGCTCGGGACAAGCCAGCTGACTTAGTGGATGAGTGCCTGGATCGATGGGAGATTGAGACTCTGGCAGAAGTTTGCCGGAGCATGAAACATTTCGATGAGGTTGCTGCAGGCCACGTGTCCACCTACACCAGAAGCTATGGAGGCAGACAGTACCTAGGCAAATTTGACCGGAAGAAGTATATAAGACCACCGACGCCATGACAGTCCATGTGGAAGCACCAGTGACGAAAAGGCGACGGCGGGAAGCTTCGTTTTTCATAGTGAGCAGCTCTTGAAAGAGCTTGTGCCACTCGTGTCACCCCTTGCCACCCGGCAGAGCTGGCAGTCTCGGAAACAGCTGCGTTGGAGAGCTTGATGTGCCGACCTTGCCAGGTTTCTCGACATTTCTCGAACATGTGCGATGGCAGGTGGTCCTTAGTCCCGTGGAGAGCGAGAAGCTGCAGTTGGAGTTCCCCAGCGTGCGGACGCTGTGGGTCGTTCTTGCCGCTCTTCCGCACGGCTAAGCTCATCCTGTATGCTCCAAGCATCTCCAAGCCGACAAGGCCTAGAATATACCTTGGGAGAGGAGACTTGTGGCCCAGTATGACTTGCGATTGTGTTTCCAGTTGTCGTCAGACGCAACATCATGGCCGAAACCAGCGTTCTGTAGCACGAGTTCCTTTCCCCAACTCTACCCAACACCCCAGGCGGATGGAACTCTAAGCATCTGAGAATCTACGCTCTAAGCATTCGAAACCCCCAAGCCCAGAATCCCCAGCCCTTGCTTAGCCTTAGTTTCCAGGTGGTGGCTGTGGCGAACTCGAGGTACATGAACAAGAACCAGGCCATGAGTTGGGTTCATGAAGAAAGAAGGAAGGGCTGCTCTCTCTGTGGGGGGAGGGGTGCTAAGATGGAGACTGAAAATATGTGCTGTGTTCATGCACGCGGTTACCCTTCAATACTGTAGTCCTGGATGGTGCTGCAATTGTAGACAGTGCGGTGGATGCATCTGCAGTTGGGGAGAGGCAGAAGACATCGAAAGCATCCTAAGGAACCCTGAACAAGTTTTTGGGCTTTACATACTATGTACATCATGGTATGTACACTATATATATATGTATATATATATATATATTGATATAGTGTTATATATATATATACACATGCATACATACATCTTGCTTAAAGGTACATTGTATGTTTCATATTGCATAATTCCATAATTACATAATTTCATACTTTCATAAGTCATAATTGCATAATTACATCATTACATAATATTTCAGAATTTCATAGTTTCATAATTATCATAATCTCATAATTTCATATTTCATAATCTCATAACCTCATATTTTCATAATTACATGATTGCATAATTACAAAATTACACAATTACATAGTTACATAATTACGTATGTACGTATGTATGTATGTATATATATATATATACATACATTCCATAATTGCACATTTCATAATTAGATGTTGCATAAGAATAAATAGCTACATATACATAAATACTCTTATGCCTTGCACCTACTTAGGCGTGGATCGTCTGGACCCTCGCTACGGTGGGTGCCTTGTTGTGCTCCGCGCACGCGGCAGTGACGCTGGTGGACCTTGCGCACTGCGGCCCTGGCCTCTGGGGCTTAATGTATACGATCTACACGATTATTACGTATAATAATACATATACATATACATATATATATATATATTTATATCTATGTGTATATATAGATGCGGGATATAGTACTACATTGAATTATAACAGTGTTTAGAGCCGGAGCTTGAGGGATTTGGGGAGACTTCTGGGACCCCGTGTTGGCCTTGGCTCTGCCGTTTCTCTCGGGTATCTGAAGGTTTGGGTGCCGTAGGCTGCAACTTCAGCCACGAGCCGGAGGCTTGCCAGAAGCCGTAACAACATGGCACTGACACGAACATGGTACTACTGTATTGTTCCCCGCCAAACAGCTCAATTCTGGGGCCGGTTGACTTGACGTCACTAGAAGTGCGCGACTGCTTACGCTCAGTCGCACAAGCCGCAAACAACCAACTGCCGAGGCTCCCCGTGGCATGCAGTCGACTGGGAATCGCTGGACAGAGAGTGGGCTTCAACGCAGGGCCTTCTGGGAGAGAGGCTTCGTTGGAACCTTGTGCCACGCGACTAAGTTCGTCTGGAGCTTTTGGAGCCTCATCCTGAGCTGATCTACGATCCTGAACTGACAGAGGGCTGTAGGTTTAGAGGTATCCGGCAAGTTCTCCTGACCTGGGAGGCACACTCCTTCTGCCAGTGCCCGGCGCGTCGCGGAGTACTGCTGGATGCCGCCCCTTCCCAACAAGGCTTGGGGTTGGTGGCACGCGCACCCTAACACGAGTGCGGCACCATCATGTGCCATCTTTACCTCCTATTACCTCCTGACATTGACATGTGTGTCGGACAGAACCCCCCTCTCTGTAGGAAGCATTGCGACCCCGACCGCCTCTTCATGATGGCCACAAGCGAGAGATCCAACAGCAGACGCTGGACACGAACATGACCGTCTTCCTGCGCGAGCTTTGGCTTGGATTGAAATCCCTCCTGCGCCCACGCCATTCAACAGCTGACATTTGGAAGGTTTGTGGGCTTCTTAGAGACTGAACTGCCCAGCTCAGACTCCAGAGATCCTACGAGTTTCGCCCGTTTCACGATTGCAGCCGCACATTCCGAGGACATGTGGAGACTTGGCGGCTTCTTGGGACAGACCTGCCTGATCCTCCTCGCTCATGTAGGCAGCCTTCCGTCTGCTTAGGCGGCAAACGAAGCCACAGCAACAAGAGGCAGCTTCCATTCGTTCTGCTATGTTCTGCTTGCGTGTACGGTCTGGATTATCGCGTTGGCGTTGGCTACTGCAAGATCGTGCAAGTAAGCTTTGACAGCTAATCTAGCATCCTGGATATCATGGTTTCGCCCTTTGTCGAGGGGTGCTGTGTGGAGAGCCCTCTCTGGTGTGTGGAGTCTCAGGATTGCACTGATGGACTCTGCCACCTTCACCTTGGAGTTTGACAACCAGACCTTAGTGACTTGGTGCTGAGCTTCCTCATTTTTTTGTTAGCTTGTGGGGGGGGGGTATTGCTGCATCAGTCCATGGAGTCGGCTGCCTAGGTCCTTTCGCCCAGTCCCCCAACAATTCCAAGATCGTGGCGGATGCTAAGCCCGCTCTAGAAAAAGCGCCCCGGGGCCGTAGACCACAGTGCGCAGACCCAATTCCTCAACGGCCCAGCCCCTGAGCTGGGCAGGTGAAGTCTTACTGCCGTGACGTGTTGGAGATGCTCTCCATGTCCTCCTGTCTGCGCTGGCTGAAGCTGGGCTGCGGTTTGGGCAGAAACAAGTGTGGGGGTTTTCGCCCACTTGGGAAAGGCAATTTTCTGACATGGGGCAGCAGTACGCGGGAGGAAGGCAGCTATGCTTCCTAGAGGCAAGTTTCTAAGTCTCTCATTGACGCTGCCCACGACACCATGAAACTAAGCGCACTGCTTCGCATTTCCCGAAGCAAACGCCTGTTTTACGGTTGATCTAAGCACGAGAAAGCTGAAATTGGTCGCTGCAGGACGAGACCTTTCCCTTGCTAAGTTTTGTTAGTTTGGAGGGATCCCCGTTCCTTCCACCGTAGCAGTTGGGACCGCTAGATTAGATGCATCTTGCTGCGGGACTATACAAGAAGCAAGCAACAGCGAGAGGACACGAATCAGCGACGAGACCTGAATCATCATGCGACCGCAAGAAAAGATTCCTTAGCAGAACAGGCACAGTCCAAATGCATGTTGAGCTTTAGGTTCAGCGACCTAGGATACAAGGAACAGCAGCAACAGATGCAGAGGCGTCGGTCTTGGGAGAACAGCGTTCCTTGCAGAATGGAATTGAAGTGTGCTCAACTCTTGACCGTGCGAAAACCCTGTTGCGGGTGGCGTTTACCTTGGGAGTCATGTCACATGGTCGCCTTCGACAATTCAATGGTGCGTACCCAGATCTTGTCAAGAGACCACGAGGGCGCACCGGAGAACAAGAAGAGACGCGAAAGACAGGAAGAAAGACTGAGACAGAGGGAGAGAAGGGGAGCCGAAGACCAACAAAGCCATGAACTGCGACCCGTGCGCAGTGGTCAGAGTGATGCACCTAAATCCTAAAATCCCACACTTTTCGCTTCCAGTTATGAGCCCGAAGCAGGCCTTAAGGGGAGGAGGCCTCACGCTGCCTCACACCGCCGATCTCTGCGCTCGGTGGCCATGCATGCGAGAAGAGGGATGAGGGTGGAAAGGGAGTGGCTGCCTCCGGTTCGTTGCGAGCGCCCTCGCCCACCGACAGCTCGTCATAGTCACGTCTTGCCAATTGACACGTGAGCGGCTTTCCCATGCCATCGGTATCCCCCAGTCCAGTGTTTAAAGTTTGGATCTCGATCTTAGAGCGACAGGTGAAAGCGTGCTAAAGGACAGTTACTCTGAACTGCACGGAAGCCGAATATTATACTGCAAGCTGACTGTTGCATGCCGAAACGGTGCGTGCAGCATGGTCTCTGCTTGTGGCCCATGCGCATGACTCATGTGCAACTGCCATTAGGCGCAGGTAGAAACATGTTGCGTCGCAAGAGGGAGGGGGAGAGGAAAAGGAGAGGCAGAGAGAGTGCAAGAGGGTTGCTTTGGCCGACCAGAAGGGTTCGATGGGTTCCGGAGGTTGCCGGCACTGGCGCCTTCTGTGCGTAAACGCCCCCAGGAACAGCTCCGAACTGGGAAACTCGATCCAATGTCAGGCTGGCGGACAGCTTCAGGTTTCACGGTTTGAGGGCCTGATGGGGCTTACTGGGCTATCGTGCAGGGGTCTTAAGCCTCGAACCCTGGAACCCTGGAACCCTCGAAACCCTCGGAATCTCGAATGCTCAAGCCCGAAACCTGAACAGCTGCCAGATCCCTGAACGCCTTAGGCCGCCCCAAGCCTGCAGCCTGAGGCATCGCCAAGCTGTCCCAAAACCCAAACTCCCAAGGATCCAGCCCCAAACAAAATCCTTTGTCGCCCTACCTTGTGGACACCCCGAAATACAGAAAGAATCAGGGTGGACACCCTCAAGCCTAAGAAACCAAACCCTTCAAAGACGCGATGGCAGGCCCAGGGCCCTGAGCTGTTAATGCAAGATCTGATGCGGAGCTGGCAGGGGGAGGTGGCCACCGTGACGCCCGGCTGAGACTTCTCCTCGTTTGCGTGATGTGCCACTTCTTGCATCTTCTTGCTTATCAGCAGAAGGGAGTCAGCAGGAACCCGGGTCGCAAGTTTTCCGTTCTTGGGTCAGGAAGTTCCAGGGAGCTGTCGAAGCATTCGTAAAGAAAGGGCCGAGCTTCCTGACCGGAGGCATGACGCCTACACCGGTCACCAGAGCGGAAGCCTCCAAGCCTTCGTGCAGCTGGCAGACCACTGGGAACTCTCGGCGCTGGCTGCGCAGGGCTGCACAGCTACCATCAGCGGCTTGGAAGAGCTAAAGCTGCAGATTTCTACATTCCTTGAGCTTAGAAGCCCCTGTTTCACCTTTCGAGTGGGATTCTTCCGCCGCGCACATCACTTTCGACATTCATTTTTGCATCTCCGAGTTTGAAACCCCTGAAGGCGCACCCAGTCACCACCTCCTTCCTATGCTTTAACACTGTAGTTGCGATAGATGCGTGTTCGAAGTTGAAAGACCCTCCCGTGAACAGTGCTTCAAAAGTTCCAGCGACATGGGATATAATGAGCAGTTTGCGCGACTTTTGCTGTCACAAGGCTTGTCTTTGCATGGATGTTGATTTGAGACCGGCGGGACTGAAAGCTCGGAACATATAGGATCATGAAGGTACATGAGAGAGACATTGGAGGTATAGTCAGGCGAGCTTACCGCGCTTCATGACCTGCACAGCATAGCAGCAAACGAAAGCAATCAGGACAGAATGTCAGGTTGCACTCTCAAGCGTTCGGATCCCCAAACTTCGAAGGACCCAGTGCCAGAAAAAAACAAGCCTGTCCTTGTAATGCAGTGGCCTCCATAGCCTCCCAGGTGGAGGCAACTTCGCGCTCCGGCCGCCGACCTTGGGTGCACCTGCAGGGTTTGGAGATGTTGGGGGCCATTGGGAAATCTAGGACGAACAGGCTTTGGCGGCTATAGGGCTTTTGGGCAGTGATGTGATGCAAGAAGGGTTGCTCAGTCAGGGTTCTGTAGGGTGTCGACCCTGGAGTTGGGGCTTCCGATGTCTCGGCCGTGTGACATCCTGACGCCCCGTATTCCTGACACCCAACAGCAACCGGTAATCATGCCCGCACTTCTGAACGCTGAGCAACCTCTGCGTCTCCCCACGAGACGCCTTTGAGGTAATGCCGCAACACCCCGAGATGTGAAAACACGCGCAACAGCTTGGAGAGTCTTAGGCATCTTAGCAGTCGTAGCGAAATCGCGGCATGGGCCATCAAAACTGAGGTCCACAGGCGGTGGGGAGCACGTCTGCTCTGTCACGTCATCTTCTGATACTCGCCGAGGGTCGTGGCTGCGAGGTGCTTGTTTCGGCCCACGTTGTTGTTGTCCGAGGTTTCTTCTGCGATGGGCAAGGCGGACTAGGATTCGGTGTTGTGTCGTTGAGCGTGGGGCCGGGGGCATGTCGTGCATGTTGTTTGCGTTTGTATTTGTGTTTGCGTTTGCGTTTGTGGTTTTGCTTGTGCTTGTGCTTGTGCTTGTGCTTGTGCGTGTGCTTGTACGTGTGCGCGAGAGTGTGTGTGTCTGTGTGTGTGTGTGCTTGTGCTTTTAGCGCTTGCACACGGGCAAAACTCCCTCCATCCCTGCCGTGCTTGTAGCCTTACCCGAACTTGGGTCCCAAACTCATGGGGTGATTGTGTCAGGGGCGGCGACCTTTGCATCCAAAACGCCCCAGATCCAGGTGCCGCCCGCGCCCTCCACGCCGACGTTGCGCTGTTTAGACCTGGGCCTGAACAGATCCCTGCTCTGATACTAGCCGGTGGTTTTCGGAGTGGTTGAATGACGGGGTTTGGAGTGCGTGTGGAGTGCGGTGCTTTCAAGGTCTCTTGTACGCATTTTTGGTTTCAGCGTTGCGCCAAGCTGACGGGTTCTTTGTGGGGTCCTCGTTGTAGGGCTGATCGCCCCAAACGAGCCAGGAACGAACACGTTTCCCGTTGCAGCACTGCATCACTACTTCATCGTAAGCATAGGCAAGCTTATGCAATCTTAGGCAAAGGAAGCTTATGCAATCTTAGGTTCTTCCCAGACAGTGTGTCAACAACTAACAAGCTCCAACGTAAGAGGGGCCAGGCGGATGCCACCGCAGGTGCATTTTGGACGAAAATCGCGCTCTCGCCCAGGTGCGGGCGTGACTCGAAACTGCCATCGCTTTTTGACTTCCGAGCACGTGACGGTTGAAACGGTCGTCGCTTTTGGTCGTTTCGCTGTTTGGGGTCTGCGCTGGCATGATAAGCTCTAAGCTGCCCGTGTGAAGACATGACATTGGCATCAACAATAAAGAACAAATGTCCGAGGTGGTGTGTGATTCCCAAAAATCAGCATTCCAAACTCCAGCAGCTTTGCTTGAGAAGTGCACGGGAGCTGACGCTCTACAGTCCACAGGGTTGGAGTCCTTCAGTTGTCACCAGCCATCGCTTTCTTCCTTGAAGGCCGGATCAGAGTTCACATTCCAAAATCTGAAGCCACCAAGCAGGTAAGGCTGACGGTTCCTAGAATTGGCTTGTCGTGCATGTTGGCTGCATGGTGAGGTCGCTTCAGCTCGGTCAACGAGAGCTATTTGAACCCAACCTTCGTGGGCCCTTTGCCTGGTTGTGCACTTTCGGGCGCATGGATCATGGCATGACTGATGGGTTGCTGAGGCAGCCTCAGAGGAATCGATGTTCACAAGTTCGGGTTGGATTATGTTGCCGAAGCAAATGCTGGCGAATGGCAAAGGCCTGAACCCGAGACCGAGGCTGCGTGGCGCGGATCTTCCGTGGCTGCGCGGGGCGCAGCGCCTCGGCAACGCTGACGGCTTTCCGAAGCGCCTGCCAGGCTGTTCGGTTTCGAGGGCTACGCTGGGGCTACATTCTAAGCTTGCAAGTTGGGGCTTGAGAAGGTCTTGTGGTCTTGACTTGAGGGGCTTGGGCTTCCCGCTAAGGGTGTGAGAATTTTCCGGTGCCATCAGGCTGTCATCAGGGTGTTGAGGTTTGGCAGTGTATGGCAGTGTAAGTCCAGCGGCTGCTCAGAGACCTGCAAAAAGAAGCCCGCGAAGCTCGCGGGCCTCAAAAGGGGCCAGAGGCTTCAAGTTCACGCAGTCCCAGTGATGCTCTTGTTTGTGTGGGTTACCTGTCGGCTCGTTTTGTGCGGTTGACAGGCGACGTGCGCTGTCCTGATGCTGTTCGGGCTTCCTGCCTATGACAGAGCTACCAAAGGGTTTTCTGCTGCCATGGTTATGGGTCGCATGGGGGCGTGATATGAATAGGGGCTGGCAGGGATGTAATTGGATAAGCGGTAGGGGGGCAGTTAGATGACAGGCCGCCCCAATGTTGACAAACAGAGTCTATCAACACTGCAGACCTAACACCTAAATATCCTGCAAAGGCCAAGCGGGCTCGATCTGCAAAGATTGATCGCTCATGTTTCATGGCCCTTTCGAGGTACATCCGCATGCTGTGCATGCGAGTAGGCTGCCAGCGCCGGAATGGCATCGACCGAACCTGCTGCTTTGCTGAGCCTTAACTAGGGGCTTGGCATGGGCATGCCATCCGAACCCTGCGATCCCAAGCCGCATGCGTGAAGCACCACCTTGTCAAGACACATATCGAATATGAGTTGCCAGGACAACTTCCATATCCTCCCAAAAGACCGGAGGGTAGGTGGTGCTGTGGCCATAATGCATTTGCATGAAGTAGTGCCGTCTGCAGCACCGACCGAGAATCACCATGATGTAAGCCAGACCAGAGCCACTCTTGAAGCGCCAGCCCCTCTTATTTCGCCGTTCGATGCTCTGCTCAGGGTTGTGCGATGGCATCCAGCAGGCGCTCACCCTCGCCGGATCCCGTGTGGGCGTGGGGTCTCGAGGCTGCAGAAGCGTTCGAGGCCACGGGGTGACGGTTGAGCCCCAGGGCTTCGAGAAGGCCAAGGGTGAGTGGAGCGGTTGACCTTCTTGGACAAAGCCCAACAGATTGGTCTCTTCCTTTCTGCCTTCTCCCACAGTTCATGCTGCAACGTGCAGAACGCAGAGTTGTGCCCCCAAAAGGCCCCTTTAAGACCTCCAAAAAAGACCCCCATCCCCACAGCAAGCCACTCCAAGGCTGCTCATGGCCTCGCTCCTACAAGTGGGCACCCGGTCTTCTTTAGTAGAGTCGAGATTTCTCAGGTTGGGTTTAAAAAGGGCCCCCAAATGCCACAAACTCCCTCCAAAACCCGGCGAATTTGAAGTCTTGCTTTGACTTGAGAGACCTTCGGACACCTGCCTCCCCTGTGCGGGTGTGAGAGCATGAAGAAGCCCTAGGAGCAGTAATGGGGCATCTCCCCACTTTGTTGCTGCCTTGTTCCCATAGAGTGTTTGGGATGATTCCGGCCGCCCCCCCCCCCCCCCCCCCCCCGAACTTCCCGTAGGTACTTGATGCTTAGGGGGTTGTGGGCTAGGTTGCCATGCCCGAAGCTCTCCACGCCCGAGGCTTCACCGTCCTAGCATCAGAGGTGGCCTCCAACTGGACTGAGGGGGTTCCCGGGGTCTGTTGCTGGGCTTTGGGCGAAGAGCCGCTACGGGGTGAGGGGATGCTCTGGGAATATTTGACGGTAAGCAAAGGAAGCATCTTTCAGCTTTTTCCAACTTCATCTTTGCAGGATCCTCGAAGGGCATGGCCTTCGCCTTGCCTCGTCGTTGAGGCTGACTTGGGGGTGAAGAGGGCCCTCAAAAAGCGCTCCAAAGGCCGAAAGCACAAAGGTGCTGAATGTGAGTTGGGCGCAAGATTGTGTGCTTGCACTGGCCTTGCTCCTTGAGGTCTAAGCGGTGTAAAGGCAAACTCTGTGTGATGGCCTAGCAAAGCCACGCCATCGAGGATCTCACCGTTGAAGCTGGTGGATGTGCTGCTGATGCTGGGGATTTGGCGCCCTTGCTTTGACTGCTTTGTCAGCTGGAAAGGGGGGCTGATAGGATAGGCCTTTGGGAGATGGAAGAGGAAGTGCAGTATGGCATAGAGCTTCTAGGGCCTTGTAGGGAAGAGCTTTTTGGGGTCCAAGGCCTGCACCCCAGCATAGTGATGCAGGTTGCCTGGGGAGCGTCTATTTCGCGATCTTCCTGAAGCCACCAAAACTTCCACACACTACATGATTACACATGATTACCTTGCTCGTCTCACCGAGACCGAGGATGCAGCTCATAGTCTTCCTGGTGGCTGTGTGCCATGGCGGAGACGCAGTCTTGGGGATCCACCACCTTGGAATCCCATCTTCCTACCTTCCAACGAAGTCACGACGTCACTTCTATTGGTTCTAATGGGCCCCAGCTTGTGAGAGATTTGCTATCAGGCAGAGGGTGGTGCAGGGGTTGGACAAGTGCTCTCGTCGCTGGGGGAAGCCCATCAAAAGGCTTACTGCATCCCAGGTGTTACAACGTGGTGCTCCATATTCAGCTGCGGAAGCAGATCCTGGCGCTCCCAAGGTCTGCCAAATGTGCCATCTGAGACTGGTGGGGGATGGGCGTTCTGGGAGTCTTGAGCCCCGTTTTGCTTTTTGCCACAGGTCCGTCCTCTTTGGGCAGAACACCGAAGTGCCAGCAGCTTGGGGATCAATGAGTCCTTTTCTTCTGAGTCCTTTTCTTCTTGTGCCTTTGATGCCATTGTCTTGGCTGCGGAATCTTGGATGCTCACACCCTTGTTCACGACTGTTTTGCGCGAAGCTGGGTCACGGTTCACAACACATCTACCGCCTCAGAATTCAGGATAGCTACCGTGGTCCGGACTTGAAGGACCCTCCGTGAGCTCACTGCGGTTGTCCACAAAGCCTCGAAACCTGTTGTGGACACCCTGCTCCCTCCACCGAGGCGCAGAAGCCTGCAGATGGTAGTGTTCACTGAGTGCGAATGACCCCTTGTGCCACGTGGCGCCAAGACTTGCAAAGGGCACCAGCGCCTGAGTTTCGTTTGCGCCAGCAACTGACTCCCACACCGGAGGACTTGAAGCGGATGGGCAGCACGAGTTTGGTCTATGCGATGTACTTCCCTGGCATCGCCCGGCACTCAGGTTTTTTCAGTCGGGACATTTGCCTGACAGCCGATCGGGCTAGCAGCTTGAGTATTCCCCTGCAGAGCGAGCTCTTCCCCTCCCTCTTTCAGTTGAGGTTTTCTGGCACTTCTTCTACGCCTCTTGGATCTTGGTGCTGCTGCCCGACTGAATCAGGGACCAGGATCGAGTAGGCTGGGCGCTGGACCTTTCGCCCAAATTGGGTTCGGGTGAGGTCGGTCAGGGTCATGCAAGGTCGTGCATGAAAGATGGCGGGCTAGCGTCAAGCAGGGCAGGAGAGGGTATTGATGAGGGTTCTGGAGTCTCCGTTCAGACAGGCTTTGAATAGGCTCTGAGACGGGCAGGATTCGATTTGGAAGTTCAACTCGGATTTTGGATTTTTTGGGGGCGAGAGGGTGGTGCCCAACCTGGGGAAGCAAGGGTTTCTGCTCCTTACACATCCTTATAGCCTAGAGTCCGATATGAAGCCTGGAAGGAAGCCTTTCTTTGGGAAGCCATGCTGCCGATTCAGTGTAGGCCGAACATCCACTGCGCCAACTCTCCAGGATGTTTTGCTTTGCACTGGGCTGCTTGGTCGTCGTGGGGCAGCCAGTGCCTGGACCTGACTGGCTGCTTTCCCAACCTGTTCCGGGTCGTGTTTGTAAGAAGCCAAGAGATGTTGGCAGTCAATTTGTTCTTGGCGGTCAAAAGCAGAAAGCTTCAGAGTGTCGGAGTGCGAGTCTTATACTTCTCTCCGCCGAACTGCGCCTCAAGCAACCTTCATGAACACTTTCGCGCTGCAACTCTCGCGTTGTCGTGTTGAACGACAGTGGCAATGACAGTAATTGCAGAAATGCCGAGGCCGAAACTCGCAGCGTACATGCCAAGCGTATCTGGCCAGTGCTGAACCCCCGGCATGTGTTGAAGTTGAGGGAGGTCACTTCGTTTGTTACATGGCCTTTGAAGGGCCCGAAAAGCTGTGAAGAGCCTTCAGGGCATTCTGGAAGCCTCAGGACCTACGGCAGCTTTCTTTGCTCTGTGCTCTTAGCCCATTTCGTGACGAGCATCCTGGCGGCAGAAAAGGAGGGTGATTATTCAGACTCACGTGCTCGGCTCGTATGATGTAGAGTCACAGCGTGATGGCTGTGCCACTGGCAGATCCTGACAGAACACGCGTGGGGTTGACTTCGAACATCGCCTTGCCGTTTGCTCGTGCATCTCGTCCCCACGTCTTCCTGCCTCCCCTCCCTACCTCCCTTTTGCGACACCTCTGAACCGGGTTTCCATTTTGCATCAGGACTTTTCACGCAGCGGTGACACTTGCTTGCAAGCATGGCGGTGCAGCAAACGTCAACAGAGGCTGTCAATATCGAACCGCCGCTCGAACAAGGCAGCGGCGCACCCGACCGAAGTCCAAAATCCCAACCTTCAACTTCCGAGCCCCGATCCGAAAGCTCTGAAGGTTTCAATCTTTCAATCTTAAACTCGACACCGTTCAATGGATGCCAGCTGCTGGGCTTAGAGGTCTGCTGCGGCGTCATGGGCGGGGGATCCAGATTCGCTGCCTCCCAGCTGCGGAAGTTTGATTTTGGGCGCAAGGTTTTCAGCTTTTTCAAAGCTATTCTTTCAGTTTTGTCTTGGGGCCAGTGCGACCTCTAGGACTTTCGGTTTGATCGTCTGAGGGTTGACCTTCTCGTCATATTCAGCTCACGCGATGCTGTAGAGGTAAAGCTGCCAGACGTTCCAACACAGGGCCCGCTGAGAGGTCACAGAGGCGTTTGCTTGTAGCACAGACTTCGATGTCAGGCACCAAGCTGAGGGGATAGCCGTAGCCGTAGGGCAGGATTGCACCCTCACCTCCTGGTGACCTCCGCGTCGTGTTTCTGGGCTGCAGAGGCTTCGGCTGTTGAACGCGAGGCCGACGCATTAAATCAATCTTAGCACCAGAACGCCCCACCCACCACACAAAGTCTGGACCAAAGCGGTGAGCAGCGCGTCGATCCAGAACTGAGGCCTTTGCCTCTTCTCCTGGTATGAGGCCTGCCGGCACACCCCTGGGTTCTGGATGTCAGTTCAGAGCTGCGGGCCTGTGGTTGCTTGGGGTTTCCGGCTAACTTGCGGCCCTTGTGCGAGAATCCTCCTGCAGTTGCCATACGCATCCAGGTTATGCTGTTTCTCCTTTCCTTCGCGGTGGGCCCGACCGCCGCACTCTGGGACTACATCAAAGGCAGTAGAATGGGGCTTCTGGTCCGGTTGAGGTGTGGGTTGCAACCTGTGTAGCAACACCATGCTCTAGCATTGCCAGTAAGAGAAACGATGCAAACATTCTTCTTCAACATATTTGCTTGTGGCCTCACTAGCTTGTTCGACCCTGGGTAGTATTTGAAGTGGCTGTGGTTGCAAAAGGTGAATCTGCCGAGCGCAAGGTGACATCGTGTGCAGATGGACCTCTTTATATCTCTGCTGTGGGGTGTTGGGTTGTTAGGCAGGTGGCAACGCAAACGTCACACCGACAGGCTTCCTCTGCACAGTCTTGGCTTCTCTAATCATCGAGAAGCCGAACTTCACCCAGCCCCTCGTCATGAGACTGTGCCCGAGAACCTGCGAGGGGCCCGATGCCTGCTAGTAGGGGAATATACGTAATCTACTCTAAGCTACACAAGGGCCAGTCCGGCAGGGCTTTCTGAACGTTGGCCATTGCGGTCGTTGGAACAGCGACCTCCGCAGTACTCTCTATGCCTTCAGCTCCTTTAGACTGCTCTGCGCGTTTGCGTTTGCGGTCTGAGGGCTTTCGGGTGCTGACCGGCTGTTCAATGAAGGTTTGGGGAGCTGGCGGACTACGTCTACTGCACCTACTGCGCAGCCCTTCTCCTGGAGCGGATGGATCGGGATCGCTTGGAGGACGGAAGTTTTCTCTCATTTACGTCCCGGGCCAGCCATGCAAGCAGCACCAAGCAGAGGGCAGTACAGCCCTCAGGACGGCAGTTGTCGGCAGGCAGCAGCTTGCAGTGGGTCGAAACAAGACCCGCGCGGAAATCACAACAGAACCTGACAGAGAGCCTCTGGCCCCACCGGCGTCTGATGGTTTTAAAGCCATGAAAGGCCTCTGAGACGAAGGCATCAGTGGCCTCCAGTCGACGGCCACCTGTTACACACGCAGCTAGAAGAGTGCCGGGGCAATTGGTTAGCAACCCAGAAGAAATCGACAGCTGGGTGGTGCCCAGGGGGATTGGAGGAAGCTAAGGTATAAGGTACACAGCTTGGGCCCTAAACCCCGAAGGCCACAAGCCCAACTGATTGGGAAACCCCTCCAGGATGAGCCCAACGAGCTGCTGGTCCCAATTTCTCAGGGCATTGGGTGTTGATATGCAATCTTGCAAGCTGGGCCTGGGCGGCTTGGGCTTCCGTGTTATGACACGTTGTGCATGTAAACTGTGGCCGTTAGCCCTCTGGTGTGTGGGGATCTTGTAAAGCTTCAGTTCAACCATGTTCATCCGCTGTAGTTGTCACGCAGCTGTTCCTTAAAGCAACGTCGAGCGCTCCGACTACTTCCAGCAGCTGAACCCCCCCTGGCCTCAAAATCCAAGGCAGTCCTGAAAACACTTGCGGCAACCGCCGGAACCCTGGAATCCAGGGCAAACCAGACCTGAGGCATGCCGGCAACGAGCACGAAATGCTGGAAAGCTGCGAGGATTGCCGCCAAAGGCAGACTCCGGGTTGTTGGACTCGTTGGCTTTGCGGGGGGCTGAGGCTTGCAACGCCGAAAGCCATGTGGATGAGATGATCTCAGAATTCAAGCCGAAACCCTAAGCCCCCACCATTTTGATAGTAGCTTGGGAGCATGAATGAAGCCCAGTTGGACTTTCCGAGAACTGCATGGGGCCGCCGCGGGTGCATTTGACCTTTGGGCCGGCGCTTCATCTGAGTGATACGGTACCTGTGGTACAGACCAAGCTCTAGACAGACTAAACCCTAGTGCTGTATTGTGTGCTGCCGTGCAACCTTGCAGTGCGACTTAGAGCAGGTAGACATGGCTTTGGGTCTGGTTTGGTGCGAAGATGTTGCTCCTTCTGTTCTGATTCTAGGTGTTTGACAATCCTTGCAACTTGTTAAAATCTACGCCAAGCTTGAACCCAAACCCCACAAAACAAAAAACAACAAACCAACAAAATCGAACCCTAAGCACCTCGAACGCTCCCCCTTTGCCAGGTGCGACAACTGGGACTCCAAAGCCGAGCCCGAACTCCTCGACAGCAGCCCCTGAGGGATTTAGATGGTCAGCTCTCGAAATATCTCTCGAAATTTCTCTAGACACCTTTTTTTGGGGGGATGGGTTCCATAGGGTTGGAGGGTTTATGAAGGCATGAAGTGACATAAACAAAGATCCTAGCAAGTACATAGGAAGGCCAAAGACGAGGAGTAGAAACACCAGGATGCTTTCGCGCCTGGTGTTTGAGATTCGCTTCGGGCTTTGCGAATGTCTGGGTATTTGCAGTCTGGGTGTGAGGTTTTCAGATCAGGGCTGGAGCCAGTGAGCCAGTAGAGAAGAGTCGGTAGAAGAAGGCTTCAGAGAACATGCTTTGGTAGTCGAGTCACTATAGAATGAATTTGTGGCAAATGTTTGCGACCCGTCCAGATGGTGGGCTGCACCGAAGCAAAGAAGACCGAAGCTCAAGCGACATCTCAGCTCGAAACCCTAGAGCCATTTCTTTAACCCTGGGGTGTGAGTTCAGAAAACCCAGATGCAGTGGTAGAGTTGGCTCGACCTCCCGAAGCGGGACTTCAGCCAATGGCAAAAATGGTTTGTAAAGTTCGGGCATGTTGGGGTTATTGGGGTGGAGGATGGGTGGAGGAAACAGTCACTCAATAGTCTCTGACAGGAATTGACACAGGACCCAACTTTTTTCGCCTGGCTCTTCGCCCCAATTTTTTTTTAAGTCAAAAGGCCTTTGACTCTTCAGAGGGGTTTTTATGTCTTCACAACCTGGATCACATCCTTTTACCCACTCCTTTAACCCTGGTCCCCTTAGTTTGCCCCCCCCCCCCCCCTCAGGCTATCACTCGAAGCTGGGCTGCCTCCAGCGGACGTGCGCATTTTGGCTGCTCTTTCTCGGCCTCCCCCTGCTGTCCGCCGTGCTGGTGGATAGCAGCAGTTACTCACTTGGTGGCTGGTCTATGCAAAGACATCTTGCGGTTCGATTTTATTCTTTTCGAAGCTGGCACCGAAACTCCGGCTATTTTAGAGTTGCCAGGCCGTGGCAAGCATGCATTCTATCCTAGGAGGACCCATTCGCTGTGAGCCTGAGGCTACGACTGCCCACATTTTCTCAAGACGATCCTGCCTTTGAGAAGGTGCCAAGAGCAGCAGGCTCAAAAAGGAGAGCCTCTTAGCATTGTGGCAGCAGTGTCGGCAGCGCAGACTCAGATGCGTCCTACATCTCGCATGCTTTCGGCCGTGACTGCTTTGTGTGCTTTTGGCATGGCACGCGCCACTGTGAGTTCTGCATTTCCTTCCCGATGTCTGCCACGCACATTCGGCCATGGTCGCCTGCACTTGAGGCATCAGCAGCGGCACAGTGTAGACTGCAAAACTCAGGAGCAGGTGATACATGAGCAACTTATAGCAACTTCAGATTTCGAGGTGCCCTTGTAGACGACATTGTCTGCGATCGGTCGAAGCCTGCACTTCCATGCCAACGCCGAGTTTTGCTGAGCAATGGTGGCGCAAGTTGCGTGGGGCCTAGAAGCAGTGATTATTGGCCTTCTTGTAGTAACTGCATTGTCATGCCTTGCCACGCTGTGCTGCGCTATCGGAAGCGAGGTTAAGGGTTGGCCTGCCTTCAGCCACGTGAAACTCTCAAGCGCAAAGTCCTCGTTAGCGCCTCAGGACTCGATTCAGGACTGCCGGAGTTTTGAGGCTTGCGGGGTGGTTAGCGTGCTCTAGGCATGGAATGTGTCACGCGGCAAGCTCCTTCACGCACGTGCATGCACCCCAGAGACTCCTGCGAACGGGCGCAGCTGGCTATTGAAGTTTGGAGCCTTGTGCAGCTGAAGAGCTGGCGCTGAGAAGGGAGCAGCTTCGTCGGATCTGCACCTGACGGTTGCGTGCACCAGATAATGCCAGGATTCTTGGCGGAACTTGCTGGTATACTTGGAGATGCACTGCTTGCCGCCACGCCCTCAGATTCCGGACTGCTCAAAGAAGGCCCCGCATGATGGCTGCCAGATGCTGACCCTGCGCACCCCCCGCCACTGACATTCTGCACATTCCGATGGCCTGGGTATTGTTTCCGACGCTTCTCCCAGCATTGTAGGGCAAATGACCTCAAGCCGCCAAGCCCATCCTTCTCAAGCGCCGGGGCAAACTTCCCCACCACTGCCACCAAAGGCCTGAAACAGCGTTGCGTGATTTGCAACCTGCCATGAAGCTGCCAGCCTTGTTGCTCGCTGCCCTGGGATTCGTCCAGCTGAGGGCTTCAGGACGGCCGTTCTCTGTTGAAATGCTGCCTCCAGCATTTACGTTTGCAAAGCTACAGAGGCACAACATCCCTCCCGCATGAACCTAACTTTGAACCTCGAAGCCCTTACTCAAACCCTCCTAACTTGCCCACAAGCTTTGCCCATCCTTGTTATGTTCATTCTTTGTGCAGAGAGTGCTCATGTGTCTGAAAAGGAGCCTCCAACCTCGCAGTGGTCCGTGTGTTCTCGACGGAGGAGGAGGTGCAGCTGCTCATGGACAGTGCTGCTATGTGGGAGTCCTCAATGCCATGCGCCAGCAAGTCCAACATGAGCATGATCGATCTCATCCTGGTCTTCAGCAAGGATCTGGCGGCCGACTCCATGGCCAAGGCAGCTGTGGATTTCTACGGGAATGCCTTCGACCAGAAGGTAGCCTGGACGACTTGCTTCTCCGGCGTCAAGAACATGTCGGCCATGCTGAACCCGGAGCAAGATGTGTACGACAACCGCGGCTACACCACGAACAAGCACTGGGTCTCTGGTCCCAACGCAGTCTTCTCGAAGATCATGACGGCCATGCTTGAGGGTGAGTTCATGGACATGTACGACACCTTCTTCCTCATGGAGATGGACGCGGTTCCCATCAAGAGCGGCTGGCTCGACCAGTTCGAGACGGAGGCTCTCGAGATGCCGGGCGGCAACATGGCCGTCCGCGGGAGCCAGTACCTGGGCGACAAGTGGGACTTGTTCAAGTCGATGATGCCGACCTACTTGGTGGAGCACATCAACGGCAACGCCATGTACAATCTGAAGCACGCCTGGACCAAGGCCGTGTACGACGCGTTCCACAGCATGGGCGGTGGCAGCATGATGGAAGAGATGGCCTTCGATGTGGCGTTTGCCATGATCACAATGGATGCCATGTCTGGAAACAGCAGCCAGTTTGCAGCTGCATGGACAGCCGCAGGTGGCGACATGATGACCTACAATTGGGATTCCATGCTGGTGGGCAACTACGCCAACACCCTCCTGAACACCAGCTTCGAATTCCCAACCTACATCCGCCACGGTTCCAGCAAGAACCTCTTCGAGACTGTTGAGGATGACGAAGTGACCCTGGGAGTGGCAATGTTCGACTACCAGGGGCACTTGAAGTCGACCGTGCCCACGCACCACCCCTTCAAGAAGATCCTGGCCCTGACCTACTACCCGCAGCCAGAGATGATGGAGACGATCGAGGGCCCGAACGGCAACATCAGCATGGAGACTACGACGGCCAAGAGTGATGCGTACTACCACCTGTGCGAGACAGCCTCTCTTGTGAAAACGAAGTGGTTCGCCCTCACGGACAACTACCACATTATCAAGGCACCTGTGAGCGTTCTGATGGAGACGGACGACAAGCCCGTGCTGCCCTACGTCCTGAGGAACTCCAAGTACTGCGGTGAGCGTCCCAACTGCGAGGCTTCCATGGAGCAGGCAGAGACGCTGTTCAGCATCACGCTGAACTACCACCACGACAAGTACGAGGTGCTGTACAAGACCGAGGATGCCAAGAAGTTCTGTACGGCTTGGGATCTCGCAACAGCATCTCAATCGTGGAGCGATTGCAGCTTGGCCTTTGGCCCTACTGGGGACGACTACATCGCCTGGAAGATCAGCGACCCAGATTACAACATTACCAACGAGTTCACCCCAAAGGACAAGACGCGCTACGGCTGGCGAGCATGGACCAGCCTGTGGAACCCGGCTCCGGTCGATTCCCGCGACTGCAGCACAACCCTCTACGGCCCGAAGGAGTATCTGGAGACCCTCGGCAACATCTCCAAGTGCGCAGTTTCCTATGTGGAGGACGAGGCAGGCTGTGCTGGTGACACTACGTGCATGTGGAAGCCCATGTTCGAGTCGGGCGTTTGCATTCAGGACCCGAAGGCGGGTGTTGTCACCTCAACAACGGTGGCGGGAGCTGTCTACAGCAGCATTGAAGTCTCTATGGAAATGACAGTGGAAGATCCGGCCACGATCACCGAGAACGCCACCGTGACCAATGCCATGATTGCAGGGTTTGCAGAGGTGATGGAAGTGGATGAAGAGGATGTCACGCTGGAGTTCGAGACGAACAGGCGCCTCAGTTCCCATGCAAGGAAGCTTCAGGTCACTCTGACGGCCATTTTCACTGTGACAATGCCCAGCATCGAAGCAGCCATCGAAAAGCAAGTGGCAATTGAGACAGTGTCTTTGGCGAAAACGACCGAAGCCATCAGCACTGCTGTCGCCAGCACTGGCTTCACAGGCACCGTGGAGGTCACTGGCAAGTCGACCGTTCGCGTCGCTGCACCGACGACCACGACCACGACAACGACGACCACGACGACGACGTCGACGGCAGACAACATGACCGGTGACGATGGAGACGATGGCGACGATGGTGACGATGGTGACGATGGCGAGGAGCCGCCCAGCTCGGCAATCGCTGGCACCGCCTCTGCCGCTGTGCTAGGACTGTCCATGCTGTTCGCGGCCTAAGTCGTAAGCCATGCAGGTGACGCACCTGCGAAAGAAGATTGCTAGGCTGCCAAGAGTCCTTGCAGAGCGTCCATGAGTGTCATGTTCTGAGTTGGACGTGCAACCTTTGCAAGAGGCTGGAAGGCCCACTAAATTCGTGCAGACAGCCCTCTTCGGCAGTAACCTTTTCTGATGGGGCTGGCAGCGCAAAGCCCTGCCCTCAAACCGTCATTCGCATAGGCAAGCGCCGGGCGCCACAAGAGGCGCGCCCGAACACCACGAAACACGCCAACATGTCAACCACGCCAGCGGGTCGTAGGCCAAGCCTCGGCGACGACTGCGATTCGCAAGTGATTTTGGAGAGCGAAAAGAACTTTGGCCCCCTTGCACGTTGTTTCCGGAATTCAGGGGCGAAAGTCGTACACGCAGAAGCCGCCGCATGAAGCCATCGGAAGGCAAGTCCCACAGCCAGGAACATGTAGTAAAGCTGACCCGATCCTACGTCCATTTCGGGGTGCCGAGGCTGAGTTCAATGCCTTCAGCGCAAAGTCCTCGTCAACGCTTCAGGACTCGATTCAGGACTGCCAGGGCATTGAGGCTTGCTCAGCCCGAAGCCCTAATCTGCAATAGGAGTGGCTGCGGGGTGGTTAGCGCCAGGCCTATGTCAGATTGGGTAGAAGGTGGCAAGTGGAAGGCGTCACGCGGCAAGCTCCGAACCGTTCAAGCAGTGGGACTGTGCTCACGCACGTGCGTGCACCCCAGAGACTCCTGCGAACGGGCGCACCTGGCTCTTGAAGTTTGGAGCCTTGTGCAGCTGAAGAGCTGGCGCTGAGAAGGGGGCAGCTTCGTCGGATCTGCACCTGACTGTTGCGTGCACCAGATAATGCCAGGATTCTTGGCGGAACTTGCTGGTATACTTGGAGATGCACTGCTTGCCGCCACGCCCTCAGATTCCGGACTGCTCAAAGAAGGCCCCGCATGATGGCTGCCAGATGCTGACCCTGCGCACCCTCCGCCACTGACATTCTGCACATTCCGATGGCCTGGGTATTGTTTCCAACGCTTCTCCCAGCATTGTAGGGCAAATGACCTCAAGCCGCCGAGCCCATCCTTCTCAAGCGCCGGGGCAAACTTCCCCACCACTGCCACCAAAGGCCTGAAACAGCCTTGCGTGATTTGCAACCTGCCATGAAGCTGCCAGCCTTGTTGCTCGCTGCCCTGGGATTCGTCCAGCTGAGGGCTTCAGGACGGGGTCTCTGTTTTGTGTTGGTCCGCTTCTCTCTCCTTGTTCTACGCTGTACCATCGCGTTTATCGAGCATTATCCGGTCCTAGCTCGCCGCCGTACACCCGTTCTCTGTTGAAATGCTGCCTCCAGCATCTACGTTTGCAACATTTGCAAAGCTACAGAGGCACATCTGAAGTCAGAAACGTCATATGGTCGAACAACCTCGAAGCCCTTACTCAAACCCTCCTAACTTGCCCACAAGCTTTGCCCATCCTTGTTATGTTCATTCTTTGTGCAGAGAGTGCTCATGTGTCTGAAAAGGAGCCTCCAACCTCGCAGTGGTCCGTGTGTTCTCGACGGAGGAGGAGGTGCAGCTGCTCATGGACAGTGCTGTTATGTGGGAGTCCTCAATGCCATGCGCCAGCAAGTCCAACATGAGCATGATCGATCTCATCCTGGTCTTCAGCAAGGATCTGGCGGCCGACTCCATGGCCAAGGCAGCTGTGGATTTCTACGGGAATGCCTTCGACCAGAAGGTAGCCTGGACGACTTGCTTCTCCGGCGTCAAGAACATGTCGGCCATGCTGAACCCGGAGCAAGACGTGTACGACAACCGCGGCTACACCACGAACAAGCACTGGGTCTCTGGTCCCAACGCAGTCTTCTCGAAGATCATGACGGCCATGCTTGAGGGTGAGTTCATGGACATGTACGACACCTTCTTCCTCATGGAGATGGACGCGGTTCCCATCAAGAGCGGCTGGCTCGACCAGTTCGAGACGGAGGCTCTCGAGATGCCGGGCGGCAACATGGCCGTCCGCGGGAGCCAGTACCTGGGCGACAAGTGGGACTTGTTCAAGTCGATGATGCCGACCTATTTGGTGGAGCACATCAACGGCAACGCCATGTACAATCTGAAGCACCCCTGGACCAAGGCTGTGTACGACGCTTTCCACAGCATGGGCGGTGGCAGCATGATGGAAGAGATGGCCTTCGATGTGGCGTTTGCCATGATCACAATGGATGCCATGTCCGGAAACAGCAGCCAGTTTGCAGCTGCGTGGACGGCCGCAGGTGGCGACATGATGACCTACAATTGGGATTCCATGCTGGTGGGCAACTACGCCAACACCCTCCTGAACACCAGCTTCGAATTCCCAACCTACATCCGCCACGGTTCCAGCAAGAACCTCTTCGAGACTGTTGAGGATGACGAAGTGACCCTGGGAGTGGCAATGTTCGACTACCAGGGGCACTTGAAGTCGACCGTGCCCACGCACCACCCCTTCAAGAAGATCCTGGCCCTGACCTACTACCCGCAGCCAGAGATGATGGAGACGATCGAGGGCCCGAACGGCAACATTAGCATGGAGACTACGACGGCCAAGAGTGATGCGTACTACCACCTGTGCGAGACAGCCTCTCTTGTGAAAACGAAGTGGTTCGCCCTCACGGACAACTACCACATCATCAAGGCACCTGTGAGCGTTCTGATGGAGACGGACGACAAGCCCGTGCTGCCCTACGTCCTGAGGAACTCCAAGTACTGCGGTGAGCGTCCCAACTGCGAGGCTTCCATGGAGCAGGCAGAGACGCTGTTCAGCATCACGCTGAACTACCACCACGACAAGTACGAGGTGCTGTACAAGACCGAGGATGCCAAGAAGTTCTGTACGGCTTGGGATCTCGCAACAGCATCTCAATCGTGGAGCGACTGCAGCCTGGCCTTTGGCCCTACCGGGGACGACTACATCGCCTGGAAGATCAGCGACCCAGATTACAACATCACCAACGAGTTCACTCCAAAGGACAAGACGCGCTACGGCTGGCGAGCATGGACCAGCCTGTGGAACCCGGCTCCGGTCGATTCCCGCGACTGCAGCACAACCCTCTACGGCCCGAAGGAGTATCTGGAGACCCTCGGCAACATCTCCAAGTGCGCAGTTTCCTATGTGGAGGACGAGGCAGGCTGTGCTGGTGACACTACGTGCATGTGGAAGCCCATGTTCGAGTCGGGCGTTTGCATTCAGGACCCGAAGGCGGGTGTTGTCACCTCAACAACGGTGGCGGGAGCTGTCTACAGCAGCATTGAAGTCTCTATGGAAATGACAGTGGAAGATCCGGCCACGATCACCGAGAACGCCACCGTGACCAATGCCATGATTGCAGGGTTTGCAGAGGTGATGGAAGTGGATGAAGAGGATGTCACGCTGGAGTTCGAGACGAACCGGCGCCTCAGTTCCCATGCAAGGAAGCTTCAGGTCACTCTGACGGCCATTTTCACTGTGACAATGCCCAGCATCGAAGCAGCCATCGAAAAGCAAGTGGCAATTGAGACAGTGTCTTTGGCGAAAACGACCGAAGCCATCAGCACTGCTGTCGCCAGCACTGGCTTCACAGGCACCGTGGAGGTCACCGGCAAGTCGACGGTTCGCGTCGCTGCACCGACGACCACGACCACCACAACGACGACCACGACGACGACGTCGACGGCAGACAACATGACCGGTGACGATGGAGACGATGGCGATGATGGTGACGATGGTGACGATGGCGAGGAGCCGCCCAGCTCGGCAATCGCTGGCACCGCCTCTGCCGCTGTGCTAGGACTGTCCATGCTGCTCGCGGCCTAAGCCGTAAGCCATGCAGGTGACGCACCTGCGAAAGAAGATTGCTAGGCTGCCAAGAGTCCTTGCAGAACGTCCATGAGTGTCATGTTCTGAGTTGGACGTGCAACCTTTGCAAGAGGCTGGAAGGCCCACTAAATTCGTGCAGACAGCCCTCTTCGGCAGTAACCTTTTCTGATGGGGCCGGCAGCGCAAAGCCCTGCCCTCAAACCGTCATTCGCATAGGCAAGCGCCGGGCGCCACAAGAGGCGCGCCCGAACACCACGAAACACGCCAACATGTCAACCACGCCAGCGGGTCGTAGGCCAAGCCTCGGCGACGACTGCGATTCGCAAGTGATTTTGGAGAGCGAAAAGAACTTTGGCCCCCCTTGCACGTTGTTTCCGGAATTCAGGGGCGAAAGTCGTACACGCAGAAGCCGCCGCATGAAGCCATCGGAAGGCAAGTCCCACAGCCAGGAACATGTAGTAAAGCTGACCCGATCCTACGTCCATTTCGGGGTGCCGAGGCTGAGTTCAATGCCTTCAGCGCAAAGTCCTCGTCAACGCTTCAGGACTCGATTCAGGACTGCCAGGGCATTGAGGCTTGCTCAGCCCGAAGCCCTAATCTGCAATAGGAGTGGCTGCGGGGTGGTTAGCGCCAGGCCTATGTCAGATTGGGTAGAAGGTGGCAAGTGGAAGGCGTCACGCGGCAAGCTCCGAACCGTTCAAGCAGTGGGACTGTGCTCACGCACGTGCGTGCACCCCAGAGACTCCTGCGAACGGGCGCACCTGGCTCTTGAAGTTTGGAGCCTTGTGCAGCTGAAGAGCTGGCGCTGAGAAGGGAGCAGCTTCGTCGGATCTGCACCTGACTGTTACGTGCACCAGATAATGCCAGGATTCTTGGCGGAACTTGCTGGTATACTTGGAGATGCACTGCTTGCCGCCACGCCCTCAGATTCCGGACTGCTCAAAGAAGGCCCCGCATGATGGCTGCCAGATGCTGACCCTGCGCACCCCCGCCACTGACATTCTGCACATTCCGATGGCCTGGGTATTGTTTCTGACGCTTCTCCCAGCATTGTAGGGCAAATGACCTCAAGCCGCCAAGCCCATCCTTCTCAAGCGCCGGGGCAAACTTCCCCACCACTGCCACCAAAGGCCTGAAACAGCGTTGCGTGATTTGCAACCTGCCATGAAGCTGCCAGCCTTGTTGCTCGCTGCCCTGGGATTCGTCCAGCTGAGGGCTTCAGGACGGGGTCTCTGTTTTGTGTTGGTCCGCTTCTCTCTCCTTGTTCTACGCTGTACCATCGCTTTTATCGGGCATTATCCGGTCCTAGCTCGCCGCCGTACACCCGTTCTCTGTTGAAATGCTGCCTCCAGCATCTACGTTTGCAACATTTGCAAAGCTACAGAGGCACATCTGAAGTCAGAAACGTCATATGGTCGAACAACCTCGAAGCCCTTACTCAAACCCTCCTAACTTGCCCACAAGCTTTGCCCATCCTTGTTATGTTCATTCTTTGTGCAGAGAGTGCTCATGTGTCTGAAAAGGAGCCTCCAACCTCGCAGTGGTCCGTGTGTTCTCGACGGAGGAGGAGGTGCAGCTGCTCATGGACAGTGCTGTTATGTGGGAGTCCTCAATGCCATGCGCCAGCAAGTCCAACATGAGCATGATCGATCTCATCCTGGTCTT